ATCCCCATTTTATTTAAACTTCATTATAGACCTGTTGCTGGAAATAACACTCTCGTCGACTGAATTTTCAGGAATTCATCATCTACCAGGAGGTTCACTTATCGACTTAGACTACGCAGATGACATAGTCCTATTTGGTGAAGACGCTGATAAAATGCAGAGTCTTCTGTTAGAACTGAGTAATAATGCCAGGATGTTTGGGATGCGTTTCTCCCCATCTAAATGTATATTGTTACTCCAAGACTGGCCTGCGTCAACACCTGAACTAAGGATAGGGAGTGAAGTAGTCGAACCCGTGGACAACTTCACTTATCTTGGAAGTCTGATCAGCCCTAATGGGTTGGTGTCTGACGAAATCTCAGCACGGATTCAAAAAGCTCGTTTGGCTTTTGCCAACTTACGTCACCTATGGCGAAGACGAGATATCCGTCTATCAATTAAGGGACGAGTATACTGCGCAGCAGTTCGCTCTGTTCTAATTTACGGCTGTGAAACATGGCCATTAAGAGCAGAAGATACTCTTAAGTTACTAGTATCTGGCCACAGATGTCTTAGAAATATTGCTCGCATCTGCTTGGATCACCGGGTAAGTAATAGTGAGGTTAGACACAGGGTATTAGGGAATGATAGTAAATCAATTGATGAGATTGTAAATCTTCATCAACTGAGATGGTTGGGCCATGTGTTACGTATGCCTGAACACCAATTACCACGACGCGCAATGCTGACTAGTGTTGTAGGGGATGGTTGGAAGAGAGTTAGGGACGGCCAAACCAAAACATGGCATCAGTGCTTGAAGTCACTAACTTCCAGTCTGAGCCATGTTGGCAGATGCGGACTACCTGGTTGGGGTCCGCGTGACTATCGTAACCAATAGTTGGAGACTCTGGGTGACATGGCTCAGAATCGACCACAATGGCGTAGGTGTATACACTCTTTATCTTCCCTTAAACCTTGAGATTAAAATTGCTTGGTTAGGATATGTATTCCTTCATTAGATCACGTGAACAGTTTAATGATAACAACTTGCGCGTAGTCAGACACAAAATTAAGCTTACGAATTCCCATGTACGTATGCATATGGATGGACCATCAACTTCTATCATGTGTAGTGCGTCATTTCATGTCATTTGTGAACACGGTGTTACTTTTTAATAAATGTGTGTATTGATTCTTGGTAGAGCTGTTACATGCATTTTACACCGATAATTACTGTAAAATATTGTATGTGTAATAATATGCTATATCACCTCAGTAAGGTTAACAGTATTATTTTATGCAATTTATCAATTTACTATCCACATCGTCAACGCCATAGTTGTGAGAAATAACCGCTCCAACATATTAATGATGTCTCACTTACACTTGACTTCTTAATCTCGGTTTCTTTTATTAGTCTGAGAAGCTGTCTGGTGTTACCTACAACCGCTGCCTTTTTCATCTCTTGATTAGCCTAGATCTGGTTTGCTTTCGCTCTTCATTGTGTTCGGAGCCTGATGGGATAAGTTTACATGAGTCTATCGGTGCAATAGATGTCACAGAAATTCACTTGTTTTTCGTGACCCTTTTGTTCAAATTACCAATAGATATCGCTGACGTTTTCACAGCTATTTTTATATCTTTCCAAGTAACATCTGGGTCAGCCTCGTTTTCAAAGTTGCGCAAGTGTGGCTTCAGTTGTTTCTGGAATATATCTTGACTTTCTCATCGCTGTGTTCAACTCTAATGAGTCTCCTTAATGTGGCTTTTCTGCGTCTAGTGAGGTAGTTATCACTTTTTGGTTGCCCACAGCGTGGGAGGGTTCTTCTAGAGGTACCTGAAAAGGAAATTGGGCTAGATTTGGTCTTAGTTACCTGAGAGCATTATGTTGTTTTGAATGTTGAAAGTTTTGCATTTTTATATTAGGTTCTCACGCTTCAACTGTTTTGACACAAATGTACCCCTACCATCATAACGTTACTCTATCCCTCTACGACTATAGGTTAGCAAAGGTTCTACCACTGGTGAGTTTTTCTTTCGACCGCAGGTTTTATATATATAAACTCAATAACAGCTTAACCTTATGGTAAATCAAAGTCATTGACTTTTATCGTTGTAAGTTTAAAACATTTTGTTGCATTAAGTATTTCTAGCGTTGGGTTTTTTCCTGTCTATATTTCGTTAAAATATTACTTATACAACATAAAGTGTCGAACTCAATGCAAAGTAAACACCAGGAGAATAAGCATTACTCGTCACCTGTAAAGAAAGATGAAAAATTCCTACTTCCAGAATTTGATGGTGGTGACTGCGAGTTGTTATTTGTTCAGCTAAAGAATTATCTCAAGAGACCTATTACTAAATGTGAGGGAATTCGCTACTGAGACCTTCGCTCTCTCCTCATTATTTTGGTCGCCGAAGAAGTTGGTGACTTTATTTTGAGTCCCCCAATGTCATAACCACATGCCATTTTAAGACTTGGGATAATGAGCCGTCTATCTTTGTGAGAGGGCCAAAGAACCCAAAGGCTCTTCCAAGGAGAAAAGTAAGTTGATAGGCCATGAACGCGACATGCACTCACAAAACGCCGTTTGACACCTGAAGAAATTTTGAGTTATACAAAGTTCAAATAAAACCACATCATTTCTCCGAACTCGGTACAAACTTCAAAAGCAACAGCCGTAAAGTTGTGGGATAGATCGGCATAATTTCTAAATCCAACTACATCAAACAACCAAACATCCAAAAGTTAGCTACAAGCGACCCATACAAACGTAGCTGAAAGCTCCTCTGTGGTTTCTAGACTCAGAATATTAGCATCTGATAAAGGTCGTAAAAGCCGGATTCGGCAACATGCTACCGTTAGACACTATCTGTGCCTCCAAAAACCAAAGAACATATTTCTTTACACATGATCACGAAGAAAAGTGAGGGACAATGGAAACAGTGTAGGGATTACACACGCCTTAACGGTACCATATAATTACCCAACACTTCATGTTCATAATTTCACAATATATTGATGATTTATAGATCTGCAGTACTGATTTAAAATCATATGAGCAACACATGAGAGCAGTTTCTAAAAGGCTTCACGAAAATGCATCAAAGTGCGTTTCCGGTGTACAAACTTTGGAATTTCTCAGGTACACAATAAACCCATAAGGGATTACACCGACCGAAGTAGAGGTGGACACCATTATTCAATAGTGCTTACCGATTTCTCAAGCACAACTAAGACGCTTTATGGGTTTAATTAACTTTTATCGGTGATTGATACCTAGTTTTGCACACATAATATTGCCTTTTACGGATTCCCTTAAGGTTTTTAGTTGAACGGTGCTCTCAAATTCCCTGGTATGGTCGAGGGTGGGGAGAGTCAGCTCCGCTTCTTAAAATGCTCTCACACGACAAAGTGCACATAGCCACAGACAGATAAATTATACTAACTGCTTTCTCGAGGCATTACTGTTGTTTACAAAATTGAAAGGACGAAAAGCGAATGTCTGGAGCTTTAAGAGGGTTTGTGGAATGGGAGAGTAAACCTAGAGGAGTTGGAAAACCCTGATACCAAATCAATCCTGACATCATTTAACTTGGATAAAAGCCGGTGGTGTGGGACAATGTTAAAAACCCTAATGAAGTAGTTGAAGGGTACATCCGTAGGTGACTTCTGACCTTTAAGGACATACCAGCTTTCACGAGATACTAACAAGTTTGTGAGACATGAGTAGCCTGCTTTCAAGCCGTGCTACTGTTTAGAAAGGATCCGGTTTTTGTCTAGATATTTGAACAACCTCTTCTGAATAATCTTCTCCAAAATTTTAACAACCACGCGAGTTAGATTGTCGAGTTGATAGTTCTCAGTGCTGTATCTCATACCTGCTTCGAAGGTAGATCTTACAATAGCGCTCTTTCAGTCTTTTGGTGATCTAAATTGAGTTGTTGATAGATTAAAACATATCCGCAATGAATCTGAGATAAGACTTGTTGCTTGACTCCACTAGTAAACCCATATAAAGCTTATTTAACTTACTAAGTACATCGATTTCTCCAGTGGTCACAGTGTACAGAATGTGTATAAAAGTATTTATATGAACAGGATGTGCGAATCTATACGGTGTATGTATTTCTAAAGTAGTTAAGGAATATCGTCTTCCACGAATGATTTACTACTTTCTCCCTATAATTCTGGGATTCCAACTCTCCTGGCCCTTCGGTTTATGTGCTAGTATGAGCGTTTTTAACATAATGTGAACCCATTAACAAGCGTTTCCACATAATCTTCTAGACTAACGGAGGGTCGAGGCACAAGTGCTTCGAGCATCCCGATATTGAAATTTTATCTCATCAGTACCACGCAGTGTAAATATACCCACATTCTTTTTCTCTTACGTAGAAAGGTGCTAACCTCCTTACTAAACCATGGCACTGATTTATCTTGGTGTAGTCCAGGAAACGTGTGATACCGCAACTTTTATGTAAAAATTCTAAAATGCCTCCCAAAACGTTTCATTGGGAGATTCCGAGTCTACTGCTCAATTCATCGAGGGCAATGAGTACATAACTACTTGTATATTTGCCCTCCCAAACTTTAGTTTGGCTTGAACTGACACATCAATTTTTGCAGCGATATGGAACTAAAAGACAAGAACCGGATCGTTATCCTTACCTAGGGGAGATGTATAATCGAGGTTTGTGACGTCATATTAATAGTAGCACAATATGAGATCTACTAAATATGTTTCAGTGTTCGGGCCGTACCTAATTAACTTTTTCACACATTTCATTGGGGTACATGTTATAACAGCGTCAAGTGACAACTTGGTCCTCAAATGTTTCCGATCTGGATAAGTAATATTTTTGTTTTTTCAAGTTTCCAAGTAATCATTTTTCCGAGAAGAATATTTACATAGTTCTTAGAATCCATTACTCAGACTTTATTTCAAAAAGTGTTTGATTTGCAACATCCGCCTTACAGATTTTGTTTGAAATCGCCAACTGATTTTTAACCTAACGGTAAGTCACTTACCCCTTGATTTGAAGTTCCAAAACGTGATTAACTATTCTGTACTTTGTAATAAATATCGTGACTTTTTTCCTTCAAATTGCGTCTTGGTAAATTAAGGTAGGCTTATGCACACTTTGCTGGTTACGCATTTTCATTTTTAAATACCACCTCTGAGATGATTTTTTTATCATATGATTCGAAAATAATCATATATACGTTAAACAGTGGCGAGAATCTAATGTTTTTATCCCCCTGAAGAGACAAGTAGGCGATTTAGTCTATTTTTGTTTAATTTTGAACCGTTACTTCAAGCTTTGCACAGTTTTATTCCTCTATATATAAAGTGAAGTTTACCATCTTGAAACTATCTTGGTCTACCCAGTCTCTCGATTTTATCGAGATTTCAGGGGTTTTCTCCAAAGTGATACGAAAATCCGTTGTTCTCCTCAGACTTGGGTAAATTTTAGGGGTTTTGTGTCATTCCCTTAAAACTGACAAAATGTTCCCCGAAATCGGGAGATTGCGCATATACATTTACTATGATTGCCCGTAAAAATTCTACATTACAATAATATTTTCGTATTTGAGACTTGTATTATAACACTCACATTGTTTTTTATCGCAAACATGCATGATTAGGGAACACATGTTTACGTTTTGTCGTCTTACTTTTCTCCACATTTAATAAGATCATATTTTACACATTATCAATTTATTATCCGAATCATCAACGTGGTGGTAGTATGCAATAACCGCTCTAAAAAATTGCTAGTGAGTAATTAGCAACGTAATTAGCTGTTTTTGCTTTCTTAATTCCTGTCAGTCAGTCAGCTACAACGTAGGGCCAGGCACACATATGCATCGGTCCAAGTTGCCATACCTCGTTAGCACAACAAGATGAATACCGGATTCATAGAAATAGTTAATTTAGTGGTGGTAGTATGTAAAAAATAGGTTGTATATAAGGATATAGTATAGTAAGGAAGAAATCCAAATGTAAATTTCAGGAACAACTAAGTTCACATCTAGGCAGTTCTGTAGACTGACTCAGATACTGCTTGGAAAAACATACAAACAGCTGTGGAAACAGAAGTAACATCTATTAGTTATTTAAACCATAGGGCTCCAAAAAACCAGTGGATTTCTTCCAAGTCTATTTCACTGATGGACTCGCGTAAACTCATCCCATCAGGCTCTGAACACGACGAAGAGCGTAAACAAATTAGATCTAGGTTAACTAAAAGTCTAAGGAACGATCATGAGCAGTGGTGGGCAACGAAAGCAAAAGAGATGAAAAAGGCAGCGGCTGTAGGCAACACCAGGCAACTATTCAGACTAATAAAAGAAACCGGAATTAAGAAGTCAAGTGTAAGTGAGACAATCTCGGAAAAAGACGGAACCCTTATCTGCTCTCAACACAAACGTTTAGAACGATGGGCGGAACACTTTAAGGAGCAGTTCAGCTGGCCTTCAGCTACTGCACAACTATCCACTATTCCCTGAACGCCTGAATGGAACATTGAAGTAGGCCCCCCGACCCTACTTGAAGTTTAAAAAAATGCTATAAGTAATCTGAAACGAGGAAGAGCAACTGGTCCAGATGGATTGACTCCAGAGGTCTTTAAATATGGTGGTCCGATTTTAGCGATTAGGTTGACTAATATTCTGGCTAAAATCTGGGAGACGGACGTAATCCCATCTGACTGGTCACAATCACTGACTGTCCCAATATATAAGAAGGGGTCAGAATCATCATGCGATAAACATAGAGGAATTAGTTTGACTAATATGGCATCTAAAATACTTGCCTCAATAATTATCAGGCGCCTAACTAAGACTCGTGAACTGCAAACACGAGAAAATCAGACTGGCTTCAGACCTGGTCGTGGCTGCATCGACCACATGTTCACTATTCGTCAGGTTTTAGGACACAGGCAGGCTTGTCGGCGTCCGACAATGATAGTTTTCTTGACTTGAAAGCAGCATTTGACTCTGTAGACCGAGAAGTTCTGTGGCAGTGTCTGTCATTAGAAGGTGTACCTGAGAAGTACATAAACCTTGTGAAGACTTTACTCGAACACTACCAGTCGAGTGAGAGCTTATGGCGAACTGTCATATGGTTTTACAACCTCAAGTGATGTCCGTCAAGGCTGTCCACTATCCCCACTTTTTTTAAACTTCATTATAGACCTGTTGCTGGAAATAACACTCTCGTCGACTGAATTTTCAGGAATTCATCATCTACCAGGAGGTTCACTTATCGACTTAGACTACGCAGATGACATAGTCCTATTTGGTGAAGACGCTGATAAAATGCAGAGTCTTCTGTTAGAACTGAGTAATAATGCCAGGATGTTTGGGATGCGTTTCTCCCCATCTAAATGTATATTGTTACTCCAAGACTGGCCTGCGTCAACACCTGAACTAAGGATAGGGAGTGAAGTAGTCGAACCCGTGGACAACTTCACTTATCTTGGAAGTCTGATCAGCCCTAATGGGTTGGTGTCTGACGAAATCTCAGCACGGATTCAAAAAGCTCGTTTGGCTTTTGCCAACTTACGTCACCTATGGCGAAGACGAGATATCCGTCTATCAATTAAGGGACGAGTATACTGCGCAGCAGTTCGCTCTGTTCTAATTTACGGCTGTGAAACATGGCCATTAAGAGCAGAAGATACTCTTAAGTTACTAGTATCTGGCCACAGATGTCTTAGAAATATTGCTCGCATCTGCTTGGATCACCGGGTAAGTAATAGTGAGGTTAGACACAGGGTATTAGGGAATGATAGTAAATCAATTGATGAGATTGTAAATCTTCATCAACTGAGATGGTTGGGCCATGTGTTACGTATGCCTGAACACCAATTACCACGACGCGCAATGCTGACTAGTGTTGTAGGGGATGGTTGGAAGAGAGTTAGGGACGGCCAAACCAAAACATGGCATCAGTGCTTGAAGTCACTAACTTCCAGTCTGAGCCATGTTGGCAGATGCGGACTACCTGGTTGGGGTCCGCGTGACTATCGTAACCAATAGTTGGAGACTCTGGGTGACATGGCTCAGAATCGACCACAATGGCGTAGGTGTATACACTCTTTATCTTCCCTTAAACCTTGAGATTAAAATTGCTTGGTTAGGATATGTATTCCTTCATTAGATCACGTGAACAGTTTAATGATAACAACTTGCGCGTAGTCAGACACAAAATTAAGCTTACGAATTCCCATGTACGTATGCATATGGATGGACCATCAACTTCTATCATGTGTAGTGCGTCATTTCATGTCATTTGTGAACACGGTGTTACTTTTTAATAAATGTGTGTATTGATTCTTGGTAGAGCTGTTACATGCATTTTACACCGATAATTACTGTAAAATATTGTATGTGTAATAATATGCTATATCACCTCAGTAAGGTTAACAGTATTATTTTATGCAATTTATCAATTTACTATCCACATCGTCAACGCCATAGTTGTGAGAAATAACCGCTCCAACATATTAATGATGTCTCACTTACACTTGACTTCTTAATCTCGGTTTCTTTTATTAGTCTGAGAAGCTGTCTGGTGTTACCTACAACCGCTGCCTTTTTCATCTCTTGATTAGCCTAGATCTGGTTTGCTTTCGCTCTTCATTGTGTTCGGAGCCTGATGGGATAAGTTTACATGAGTCTATCGGTGCAATAGATGTCACAGAAATTCACTTGTTTTTCGCGACCCTTTTGTTCAAATTACCAATAGATATCGCTGACGTTTTCACAGCTATTTTTATATCTTTCCAAGTAACATCTGGGTCAGCCTCGTTTTCAAAGTTGCGCAAGTGTGGCTTCAGTTGTTTCTGGAATATATCTTGACTTTCTCATCGCTGTGTTCAACTCTAATAAGTCTCCTTAATGTGGCTTTTCTGCGTCTAGTGAGGTAGTTATCACTTTTTGGTTGCCCACAGCGTGGGAGGGTTCTTCTAGAGGTACCTGAAAAGGAAATTGGGCTAGATTTGGTCTTAGTTACCTGAGAGCGTGACCGCAGTGGCCAAGAGACAACTGCTTGAGGATGGTCACACACGACCTTTTTGTTAGCTCCGTACTTGTTGAGACCTTGCTGCTGGAGACGAAAATCTGTAGAATAATGTGAGGTGTGTATTTTTCGATCGACATTTTTTTAACCTCATCCTTACTTTATGTGAAGGTAGAACCGCTGTCATGCTGGTTTTCTGCATGAAACACCTTACTGCTGTCACACCTCTGTACAGTCAACAGTACGACTTCGCCTTCGGACTATAGGCCTAAACATGGTTGCAGATCTACAATCATTTGTGCCAAAACTGTGTATATTTCTTGTGATTCATCTTTACGTCTATAAAGTGATCTTTTTCTCGTTTAGTTAATCAAAATGATTCAATGCGAACACCGAATGCCACACTTGGAACTCGTTATTGAACATATTGTGTTTATTTTCAAACTCCTCTGGTGCTATTTTCGTGAAGTTGCTAGCTATATCTTGCAAAAAATCAGTCCAGTTTATAAGGATCTGTCATCGGACGTTATACTTGTCACTGGTAACTATTATTGTATAGCATAGTACTTTGATTTTGCTTGATTATCCAGGTGCAGGCAATGGTATTGGCAGACTCATGTGTTTGGAGTTTGCGAAATTTTGTCCAAACATAATAGCTGTTGATAAAAATGAGAAGGGCCTATTAGAAACATCAAAATTGGTTCAAAAAGAAACTAACACTCAAATTAAAGTTTATGTATGCGATTTGAGGTATGGATTGTCTTCTAAAAATAACCAATTTAAATAATCTCTTTTTATGGATAGACACAAAAAAGCTATTGATGAACTGTCGACAAGCGTTTTGAAAGAATTTGGAAAAGTTACTGTTTTAGTGAATAATGCGGGTGTCATGAATGCAGATTTTATCGCTGACCTAACACAGGATTCCATAGAAGATTGTTTCCGAGTCAATGTCTTTTCACATTTCTATGTAAGTTTCTTCTTGGTAATTGACAGATTGTGTTCCTACTATACTGACAATAACAACCACTCAGTATTTCTAAAAACATTATTATTCCCATGTGATGTTTAGCAGTTGTAAACCGGTTGAATATTTTTTTACCAAGAGATTTCTTACTTAATGGCTTTCTCTAATTTGAGACTTTCTAAGTCGAACTCGTAAATATTCCATGTTCGGAATGTACGCGGTATAATTTTAGTATTCATTTTTGAGTTTAATAATTCTTCGTCTTACTTTGTTATGATCACTTATAAATAAAGTATGTGGGTATCAATGTCAAGGTTGGACTTCATAGTTCCAAATAAATTGAGCATTGCTTACTTACTTACGCCTGTTACCCCCCGTGGAGGAGCATAGGCCGCACACTAGTGTTATTCATCCAGCCCTGTCCTGGGCAATCCTTTCCAATTGTTATCCATCCTTTTCATATCTGTTTCTATTTCCCGGCATAATGTGTTCCTTTTCTCCGCTTCCCTTCAGGATTCCAAGTTAGGGCTTGCCTCGTGATGCAGTTTTGTGATTTCCTTAATGTATGTCCGATCCACTTCCAACGTATTTCCCTAGTTTCCTCTTCGCCTCCAAATGCCCTGGTACGGCCGAGAGTGGTGAGGGGTCACCCTCCCTCTCGAAATGCTCTCATACGGCCACGCGTATACAGCCTCTGTCAGGGAAGTCCTACTCACTGCCTTCTCGTGGCATTATTGTTGTTTACCAAATTGAGAGGACGAAAAGCGAATGTCCGGCGCTTTAACATGGTTGGTGGACACGGAAAGTTCACCTAGGAGAGTTGGGAAACCCTGATTCCAAACCAATGGAGCACATGGACTCCAGTATCCTGAGGGAACAAATTGAATATTAATCAATCGTTGGTCACCGGCTACCATGGGACTGCATCTCCTCACGATACTCCACTACCTTGTGGATCAGACCTTTAGGCCAAAAGCTCCGAGTGTGGCCCCCTAAGAAAACCACCTGCTTGAGTTTGAGCACCTGGGCAGTATCACAGCTCTCATACAAATCAAATGAGATTTGTGCGGCGCATATATATTTGGTGCCCCCTTTGTACCAATATTCATGTGTTTAAATAAAAACAAATAAAATAAAATTTCCTCTTCAGCTGGAAGCTGGTTTGTCCTCTCCCATAAAACGCTGTTGCTGATAGTATCCGACCAGTGAATGTTGAGTATTTTGAGTAGACAACTGTTTTATAAGTACTTGTACCTTCTTGACGATGGATGTAGTAGTTCTCCACGTTTCAGCTCCGTACAGCAGGACTGTCTTGACGTTCCTATTGAAGATTCTCGCTTTGAAGTTAGTTGACAGTTGTTTGGAGTTCCATATGTTCTTCAATTGTAGAAATGCTGTCCTTGTTTTGCCAATCCGATCCTCCTTGTTTATCAATGATGCTTCCCAGGTACGTAAATGTTTCCACCTCTTCCAGAGTTTCTCCATCAAGTGTGACTGGGTTTGTGTTCTCCGTGTTGTATTTAAGAATCTTGCTTTTCCTTTGTGCATGTTTAGGCCTATTGATGCAGAGGCTGCTGCTACTTTAGTTGTCTTCGTCTGTATTTGTTCGTGTGTATGAGATAGGAGGGCTAGGTCATCTACGAAGTCCGAATCGTCTAATTGATTCTGAGATGTCCATTGTATTCTGTGCTTTCCCTCAGATGTAGAGGTCTTCATAATCCTGTCAATCACCAGAAGAAAGAGGAAGGGAGAGAGTAGACAGTCTTTTCTGACTCCGGTCCTTACTGGAAATGCATCTGTCAGCTGTCCTCCATGCACCACTTTGCACTGTAGTCCGTCGTATGAGTTCCGGATAATGTTGACGATCTTCTCAGGAACTCCATAGTGTCGAAGAAGTTTCCATAATGTTCTCCGGTCCACACTGTCAAACGCCTAATAGTCAGTGAAGTTGATGTATAACGACGAATTCACTTCAACTCATTGTTCCACGATGATCCATTGTGTCGCAATTTGGTCTGTGCACGACCTATCCTTACGGAATTCAGCCTCTTGGTCTCGAAGTCGGGCGTGTACTGCGTCTTTCATCCGCTTCAGCAACACTCTGCTGAAAACTTTTCGTGATACAAACAACAATGCGATGCCTCTGTATTTCTCACCTTTGCTCAGATCTCCTTTCTCTGTTATCTTGATGAGGTATCCTTCTTTCCAGTATGTTGGCACTTGTTCTTCCTCCCAAATCTTCTAGAATAGAAGGTGAACTGTACTTGCAGTTACTTCAACGTTTGCCTTCAGTGCTTCAGCTGGTATATTGCCAGGTCCTGTTGCTCTCCCATTCTTGATTTGTCTGATGACCCTCCATCTTGATTTCTTCGATCGTTGGTGGAGTAGTGATATCTATAGGAAAGTCTGTAGATGCTGCTTCGATATCCGGTGGATTCAACAAAGTTGGTCTATTCAGCAGCTCCTCGAAGTATTCTGTCCATCTTTTCCTTTGTTCTTGAATCTCCGTGATTGTCTTTCCTTCTTTGTATTTGACTGGTCTCTCTGGTTTACTGTATTTCCCTGCCAGTTTCTTCGTTGTATCATATCGTTGTTTCATGTTCCCTTCTGTTGCAGCTTTCTCCGCTGTCGTTGCTACCTCTCCCACATATATCTGCTTGTTTGCTTCTGCGTATTCATTTTGTGCCTTGACTTTCGCTGTTCTCGTTCGACTATTGTTAATTGCTGTCTTCTTGTTTTCCCTTTCTTCAATCTTGTCTAGGGTTCCCATAGTGGAGAAGATTTGTAGCTCAGGTGGGTGATTTTTATGTTGGTTTGTTCTCTGAGCTGGATGGTTTGGTCGTGGAGCTTTCATCGTCCTTCTGAACGACATCATCAGCACAAACTTCGGGTAGAAGTGAAGTGTTTGAATTTCTCCACATGTGATTCACAGCTTGTCCTCTGCACCTCGATGTTGATTGGTTCTTATTGACCTTAAATCTGTCATTGTTTATTTCTTTGTTTTGATTGTCTCTCCTATTGTTTTGATTTTTGTTCCTATGTTCCTGCATAATCTTCTTGATTAGTTGATAGATTGGATTGATTTCAATATGTTTGTTTATTGCTGATTGACCTGAGTGCCAAGCTTCTAAAAATTCTCTGGTATTTTTGGAATTGCCTCTGTCCAAAATCTGCACATTTTCCCAGTCGAATGTATGTCCGTAGTTGTCCACGTGTATTGATATGAGTGAAGAAATGTCGTGGCGTTTGACTGCTAATTGGTGTTCATGTAGGCGAAGATGCAGGGGGCGTCCGCTTTGTCCAATATAGTGTTTGTTGCAGTTGGTACAATTTATCTTGTAGATGATGTTTGTTTTGTCCTCTTTTGCCATTTCATCTTTTGGTTTGCATAAGATTGAGTGGAGGGACTTTGTTGGTTTGTGGGCTACACCTATTCCGAAGGTTTTCAGCAGCCTTGTTGTCGTTTCTGATATGCCCTTTATGTATGGTAGGGTGATCCTTTTGTTGATTTTTATACTTGACTTCATTTCTGATGGTGTGTGCGACTGGTATTTTTTGATGAAATTGATTGGATAGCCGTTCTTTTGAAGAATGGTTTTCAGGTGTTTTTCTTCATTTTTTCGTGCTGTGATTGTATTGCAGTGTGTTCTCGCCCTCTTGAACAAAGTTTGTACACAGTTGATTTTGTGAGTTCTTGGGTTGTTGCTATTGTAGTTGAGAATTTGATCGGTGTGGGTCGGCTTCCTGTACACTTGAGTCTCTAGTTTTCCTGTGTCAGTTCTGGTGATTAATACATCTAAGAATGGTAACTTGTTGTCCGACTCTTGTTCCATTGTGAACTTGATGTCGTTGAAGACGTTGTTGATCTGCTCGTAGGTGTTTTCTAGTTCCTCCTTTTTGACGATGACGAATGTGTCGTCTACATAACGAATCCAAATTTTTGGTTTGATCACTGGTAGAATTGTGGTTTCTAGTCGTTGCATTACTGCTTCCGCGATGAGTCCTGACATTAGTGTCCCTTTTGTTTGTTTGTAGATTTTGTTATTGAATTGGAAATATGTTGTTAGACATAGATCTATGAGTTCAAGTAGGCTTTGACTTTGAAGTTTCGTGTATTTCGCGAGGTTTTCGTCGTTGGTTAGGAGCAAGGACAGAGTTTCTTTTGCTAGGTTTGGTTCAATTGAAGTGAATAGTGCTGTTACATCGAAGGATATCATTAGTTCGTCGTCGTTGATTTGAATGTTCCTAATCTGATCAAGGAATTGTGTGGCTGATTTGATGGAGTGGTTCGACGAATCTACTAAATGTTTCAGTATTCTTGAGATTTCTCTTGATAAATTGTACGTTGGTGTTCCTGGTAGTGCTACAATTGGACGTAGTGGGATGTTTGGTTTGTGTATCTTTGGTCTGCCGTAGAACCGAGGGAGTACTGGTCCATTAGATTTCATTCTCCATTGATCTTGCTTCGTTATTTCTCCTGCTTTGACGAGTTTGTTTAAAGTTTTTGAAATGCGATTGTCTAGTTTTTTGACTGGATCTATGTCCATCGGTTTGTATGTACTTTTGTCCTCGAGTATTTCCTCGGCTTTCTTGATGTATTCTTCCTTGTCCATAATCACCGTAGTGCGTCCTTTGTCTGCTGGAACGATGACAATATCTTTTCTGGTTCTGAGTTTCTTCAAAGCTGTTTGTTCTTGTGACGTCAGTTGGTTGTTGCCCTTCATCCGTTGAGTCAGTGGTATTATAGATTGTCTTATTTCCTGTTGCGTTTCCTCACTTATTCCGGAAGTTTTGAGTGATGACTCTAGTGCTGCGTAGAATGCTAGTTTTGGGGCATCGCTTGTATTGTAATTTAATCCTTTTCGGAGTAGCTGTTCTTCTGTGTTTATTAGTGGTTGCTTTGATAGGTTGACCACGCTGTTGTTTGTGTTTTCTTCCATAATTGGTTTTGAGATTTTGATTATTTTCTTTTTAAGGATGTTTCTTCTTTTTTCTCTGTGTCGTTTGCATAATGTTTCGATGGCTGTTGACAAGGTTTCGAAGTGTTCTAGTGTGAGTGTCTGTTGTAGCTTCCTCTTTTGGTCTTCTATGACATGTTGGTATTTGCGGATCCTGTAATGTGCGTCCGTTATCATTAGATAAACCATTTTTCTTCCACTTTGCTTAGCTATTTTCCATCCTAATGGGCAGTTGATTGGAGGTCTGTATCTTACACTTGTTGGCAGAACATGCTGGCGAATGCACTCGTGGAGAAAATATAGTTGTTCTCGAGTGGAGGCTTGCCTTTTGGCGAAATTCTCCCATTTTCGAACAACGAGAAGCGTACTACGCTCGTATGATTTTACCCTCGTATGATTCTACCCGAAGTTTGTGCTGATGATGTCGTTCAGAAGGACGATGAAAGCTCCACGACCAAACCATCCAGCTCAAAGAACAAACCAACATAAAAATCACCCACCTGAGCTACAAATCTTCTCCACCATCTCAAAATCATACGAGCGTAGTACGCTTCTAGTTGTTCGAAAATGGGAGAATTTCGCCAAAAGGCAAGCCTCCACTCGAGAACAACTATATTTTCTCCACGAGTGCATTCGCCAGCATGTTCTGCCAACAAGTGTAAGATACAGACCTCCAATCAACTGCCCATTAGGATGGAAAATAGCTAAGCAAAGTGGAAGAAAAATGGTTTATCTAATGATAACGGACGCACATTACAGGATCCGCAAATACCAACATGTCATAGAAGACCAAAAGAGGAAGCTACAACAGACACTCACACTAGAACACTTCGAAACCTTGTCAACAGCCATCGAAACATTATGCAAACGACACAGAGAAAAAAGAAGAAACATCCTTAAAAAGAAAATAATCAAAATCTCAAAACCAATTATGGAAGAAAACACAAACAACAGCGTGGTCAACCTATCAAAGCAACCACTAATAAACACAGAAGAACAGCTACTCCGAAAAGGATTAAATTACAATACAAGCGATGCCCCAAAACTAGCATTCTACGCAGCACTAGAGTCATCACTCAAAACTTCCGGAATAAGTGAGGAAACGCAACAGGAAATAAGACAATCTATAATACCACTGACTCAACGGATGAAGGGCAACAACCAACTGACGTCACAAGAACAAACAGCTTTGAAGAAACTCAGAACCAGAAAAGATATTGTCATCGTTCCAGCAGACAAAGGACGCACTACGGTGATTATGGACAAGGAAGAATACATCAAGAAAGCCGAGGAAATACTCGAGGACAAAAGTACATACAAACCGATGGACATAGATCCAGTCAAAAAACTAGACAATCGCATTTCAAAAACTTTAAACAAACTCGTCAAAGCAGGAGAAATAACGAAGCAAGATCAATGGAGAATGAAATCTAATGGACCAGTACTCCCTCGGTTCTACGGCAGACCAAAGATACACAAACCAAACATCCCACTACGTCCAATTGTAGCACTACCAGGAACACCAACGTACAATTTATCAAGAGAAATCTCAAGAATACTGAAACATTTAGTAGATTCGTCGAACCACTCCATCAAATCAGCCACACAATTCCTTGATCAGATTAGGAACATTCAAATCAACGACGACGAACTAATGATATCCTTCGATGTAACAGCACTATTCACTTCAATTGAACCAAACCTAGCAAAAGAAACTCTGTCCTTGCTCCTAACCAACGACGAAAACCTCGCGAAATACACGAAACTTCAAAGTCAAAGCCTACTTGAACTCATAGATCTATGTCTAACAACATATTTCCAATTCAATAACAAAATCTACAAACAAACAAAAGGGACACTAATGTCAGGACTCATCGCGGAAGCAGTAATGCAACGACTAGAAACCACAATTCTACCAGTGATCAAACCAAAAATTTGGATTCGTTATGTAGACGACACATTCGTCATCGTCAAAAAGGAGGAACTAGAAAACACCTACGAGCAGATCAACAACGTCTTCAACGACATCAAGTTCACAATGGAACAAGAGTCGGACAACAAGTTACCATTCTTAGATGTATTAATCACCAGAACTGACACAGGAAAACTAGAGACTCAAGTGTACAGGAAGCCGACCCACACCGATCAAATTCTCAACTACAATAGCAACAACCCAAGAACTCACAAAATCAACTGTGTACAAACTTTGTTCAAGAGGGCGAGAACACACTGCAATACAATCACAGCACGAAAAAATGAAGAAAAACACCTGAAAACCATTCTTCAAAAGAACGGCTATCCAATCAATTTCATCAAAAAATACCAGTCGCACACACCATCAGAAATGAAGTCAAGTATAAAAATCAACAAAAGGATCACCCTACCATACATAAAGGGCATATCAGAAACGACAACAAGGCTGCTGAAAACCTTCGGAATAGGTGTAGCCCACAAACCAACAAAGTCCCTCCACTCAATCTTATGCAAACCAAAAGATGAAATGGCAAAAGAGGACAAAACAAACATCATCTACAAGATAAATTGTACCAACTGCAACAAACACTATATTGGACAAAGCGGACGCCCCCTGCATCTTCGCCTACATGAACACCAATTAGCAGTCAAACGCCACGACATTTCTTCACTCATATCAATACACGTGGACAACTACGGACATACATTCGACTGGGAAAATGTGCAGATTTTGGACAGAGGCAATTCCAAAAATACCAGAGAATTTTTAGAAGCTTGGCACTCAGGTCAATCAGCAATAAACAAACATATTGAAATCAATCCAATCTATCAACCAATCAAGAAGATTATGCAGGAACATAGGAACAAAAATCAAAACAATAGGAGAGACAATCAAAACAAAGAAATAAACAATGACAGATTTAAGGTCAATAAGAACCAATCAACATCGAGGTGCAGAGGACAAGCTGTGAATCACATGTGGAGAAATTCAAACACTTCACTTCTACCCGAAGTTTGTGCTGATGATGTCGTTCAGAAGGACGATGAAAGCTCCACGACCAAACCATCCAGCTCAGAGAACAAACCAACATTAAAAGGGTTCCCATAGAGATCCATTCCTAATGATGATGCTTCTTGCAACCCAGAACCTCCTGACACGTTGAAGTTAGTGCTTGTTTTATCCCTTTCCAGTTGTCCGCCATCGTAGTTTCTTGTTCTTTCAGCAGATCCTGTAGAGCTTGGAACCTGTTGTTGAGTTATCTTGAATTCGTCGAATTTGTTAGGATCTGAAAGAAAGGCTGTATTAAACCTTTGTGACGTTGTTTTTACAGTTGTCCGGTACTTCTTTAGCTTCAGTTTTATCGCGGCCACAACCAAGTGGTGATGTGAAGTCATGTTAGCTCCTCTCCTGGTTCTCACATTTTCCATTGTCCTTCGGAATTTTTTGTTGATACAAATATGATCTATCTGGTTCTCTGTGGTGTGGTCCGGCGAGATCTATGTAGCTTTTTGTATGCGTTTGTGTGAAATATTGTGCCGCCTATAACCAATCTATTGAATGCACATAGATTTGCAAATCTCTCCCCATTTCATTTCTCTCTCCTAATCCATGTCGTCCAATTATATCTTCATATCCTGTTTTGTCCATTCCGACTTTGGCGTTTAGATCTTCCATCAGGATGGTGAGATCCTTTCTTGTGCAGCGTCTCATAAAATGGATGTTTATCGTCGTCGTTGCGGTCATTAGTGTGTACATAACATTGGATAGTATTCATTGTGATTCCCTCCTTTGTTTTGAGTGATGCTTTGATGATTCTAGATCCATGAGACTCCCATCCCACAAGTGCATTTCTTTCTTTTGTGGACAGCATTAGAGCAACTCCCTGAGTGTGTGGAGCATTTTCCTCTTCGTGACCAGAGTACAGCAGCATCTCTCGCGTATCTAGCCTTTGCTGTCCAGCTTTTGTTCAATGGGTTTCACTGATTCCAAGTACTGCCAACTTGTATCTACTTATTTCCATTGCTATTTGACTGGTTTTTCCTGTTTCCCACATTGTCCGAACGTTCCATGTACCTATAAAAATTGTTGCTCTGAATGTTCGAAGGGGTATCGGCCTCGTGACCTCCGAAGGAACTCGGTTTTCATCATGAGACGTAATAATTCTTCTTATAATTCCTAGGGCATAGTTTAAATGGTTCAGATTATTTTTTTCTAGTTAACGCTTTTTTTAGCGCGTTAGTTTTCTACGGGAAGGCGTTGCCGACTCCATACCCAACTCTCCTCCTTTACCCGGGCTTGGGATCGGCAGTAACTCTAGAAGAGCTACAAGCGGATTTAAATTGAGCATTGAGTAGAAATTTAATAATAAATACATTTTTGTGACATCCTAATGAGTAGAAAATTGTGTCTCTGGCGTTTCGTGACTTAAAATCAGTCATTTCTTCATAGTATGTATATGGTGCCCCCTTGTACCAATATTTATATGTTCAAATAAATAAATAACCAAAATCTCTGAACTGAATTAAATTAAATCACAAAATATCAGAAACACGCGTTTTCGACTCATTAGGAATACACAAAAACATAGTTATTATTACATAAAGTATGGCTAATAGTAGACTTATTATGAAGGGAGTTTTTTTTATTTTCGACCCATTATGAGTAGTTTTGTTATAAAGTAATTTATCAAAGTAAATGACACCTTATTTCTGCAGGAAGCTAGCATGAACAGATAGCTAATTATTCTGAACAATAAATCACTGAATTCCTTTTAATACATTTCTTTTCTTTCGTATCCTTTTTTTGCAAAGTTAATTCAAGCATTCTTACCATCTATGATTAACAAAATAGATGAGAATTCAAGCTCTGGTATTCCAGTCAAATTTCGTCATCCCAGAGGACATATTGTTTGCGTTTCATCAATAGCTGGTCGGGTACCTTTAGCAGGTGGTGCAGACTATTGTGCATCTAAAGCTGCAGCTCTATTATTTTCTGAATCATTAGAATTGGAGCTGCTTAAGCTGGGAGTGGATGATGAAATTCGTGTTACACGTGTATTACCTTTTCTACTTAATACAGATATGTTTAAGGGTGTTACACCCAAGTAAGTCCTTTTTATTATTATTCATTCTATCTTAGAATAACATAAGTTAGGAGGCACTGGACAGTTTTTCCGTTAGTATGGGACTTCCCGATAACATGAACATACAACCCGAAACATCTAAATTTCGTGCCAAACATTAAACCTTTAGACCACTAAGTTGGGATTCAGTCGTCCACAATTCGAACTTAAATAGATTCCCGTTATGGCACAATAATCATCCAACCCTGCATAGGACAAATATCCTACTTTCAATATGGCTGAATTGGATCAGTTGTAACTTACTAGGACCTTCGACTTTCGCCAAGACGAATATCAGACTAATAGAAGTAGTAACAGTCATGAGAAACATTAGACATAAAATATATTATTCGAGAAAAAAGGGGATAAGTGGAATTAAAGAAACTTCATAAAATAATCAAAGGAATTAGTATCTGAGAGAGGATAAAGAGTGGATAGCTTTCCGTAGTTAATCGTTCGTGTAAAATGAAATGATTGACCAACTAAACACCAGTCGAATAATTTCACTGTTTTCACCAAACGCTTAACATTTCAGAAAAGAGCTAACTTTATCCAACCTGTTGTAATAAGCAAATCCCAAATATTAAGTGTAAAGATGACTTTTGATTGTCACGCGTATTATTACAAGTATTGTCCATTACATTATAGACATCCTTTGCTCTTCCCTACTGTGGATGCTAGCTATTGTGCAAATCGAATCGTTCAATCTGTACGTTTAAATGAACGAGTTGTTTATGTAACGGCGCGATATCGCATATTGCCCATCTTACAAATGTAAGTATCCATTTTCCCCATATATCCTGACCACTTGATAAACTTAATTAAACAATAACAACTAGATTTACTGAATAAAACGAACCAATTATATTTCATTGTTAATCATTTTAGACATCTTTGTGATGTTCACATTATGTCCACTGTCTATTAAGTATCTAATGATCGCTCTTGTGATACGTTTAGAAAACCTTGTAAACATCGTTCTTTTGGTGGTTACTTATGCAAATGCTATCGCAGGTACACGTGAATTCATAAGTCCGTTAGGAGGTAACCTCAGAAACGTACTGATCAGCATTTTACTAACCTTTTTTGCATTATACACAAATTATCGTATAGCTTAATAATCAACACTGTTTTAGTCAATTCATATTACTGTCACTTGCCCAACTGATCTAGTAGTTTATTGACCTGCAAACTATTTAAGTTAATAATAGTTAACCAAAAAAGCTAAATTAGTCGGTGAGATTGCAAACTTTCACTAATACTGGGTAACATTACATTCTTAAAAATAGAGGTTGAATAAATTCATGTGACTGGTAGCTTCTAGTTCTAGTGTCGTTTAGAATCATAACCTCAAATGTGTAAGGTTGATGATGGTTTGTGGTCCCACACCCAAAATTTACTACAATGATGGACTTTCAATTTCACTTTCTACTACTTGAACAACTGAATTGATACTCCCCTTGAATTTTCAGATGTAAAATGAGTTTTCACATAGGCATGCACCGGTTCATGTCATATCTCAAGATATCATTAGAAGTAAAAACCAAGAAAATAGATATATTGCACTCATAACTAGTTGATGAAGTAATCTTCGTCGAATGAGATACTACATAACCCAAGCCACTGTCTAGCTCGACGTCAAATTTTCAATGTGGGAGTGGATTGAAGTAATGCTAAGGGTGGAAAAACAAAACGCATCATCAGTTCATAAGGCCATTAACAGTCAGACTAAGTCGTCTTAGTAGCTGTAGCTAATGGTTGGAAAGATGAAAAACAACATGGCTCACAATTGTCCGTAATTGCGCAGACACACTTGATATTTTTCTTCCCTTAGATCCTGAGCTTTGGAATTATCTTATCCTTTTTTTATTCTACGAATTCTTGTTATCTCGGATCATATCGTCTATGCTTAATTTTTTTCTACTACCACTGATTCTGCTACTAATTCTATCCATTACTCTGAGATCTTGCTGTGGTGCGGTATTTTGGACTAATCCACATATGTACCAGGTTCTTCGTTGCATATGAATGAATACGTGTATTTACTTATGGTACCTAATAGTCAATAGCTCAACGCCTTAACAATTAAACCACTGCTCCGCTGGACGCTTACTAATGTAAAGCTGACTGTCTAAACCTACAACTCACCAATCTATCTCTGATCTACTAACCATAACAGTTCAAATGTTCTTCTAAATAGCAGTCTATTTTTAGTAAGAGGGTTTGTGGAGATTGCTAAATGTTATTGAAATCACCTAAGGCAATCATTGAAAATCGGGAAGCACTGAGCAGTTGCTTCGTCCTATTACGAGACTTTAGCAGTATGCAACCACACCTTCACTGACGACTAAACTCAAAACCTCCGGGTCGTGTGAGGAGAACCCGACCTTTAGGTCGTTCGTCCGGCATTCGATGATCTACGTGTCTTACTTCAATCGATCAGCGTCATTTTCCATCCTTAATTGTAAAATCTGTGAGAAAATATCAAATCTTTCATTTACTTAAATTGTCTGGTTTTTATTTCAATGATCAGAATAATGTTTAGATCAACAAGTTGATTGATCCTTAAATAGTTTTAACATTATTACAGGCAATCAAAACTGTATTGCCTTATTTGAAAAAAATATTAACTGTGTCATTACTAATGTGAATATTATATACAACCTATCATTATTATTTCTATTCATTTATTTCCAGACTTCTTCCAACTAAAATGATCCATTGTCTGTATGAATACGCCAATACAGGCATGTATGTTGATCAATTGAAGCTTTATCGAAAAAAAGTCGATGCCTTCAGTTAACCAAACGACTTTTCTAAAATCGCCTATTTTATACATAAATACTTTGATTTATTCATTTAATTCTCTCTACATTTAAATGAACTTTCTGATACTTATTTTCTGTTTTTTTGCATAGATTAGGAAATAAATATTTATTACGAGATATAAAGTCGTTCAAAGTTCAGTGTTCGGAGAAGTGTTTTATGTGTTTATCGTATGTTTTTTAATAGACTGCAATTAACAACCACTTGATTATCATGCATACTTTTACACTTGTTTTATTTTGTACTGGCTAATAAAACCTCTAATACGTTCAATGTCCTTTGGCTATTTCAAACATTTTATATACTCGTTTAACGTTTTTTGTTCGTAAGTTCAATTTTTGATTTCTTTCCGATAAACGATGTGATTAGTAAAAACTAGGAATTTTTAACGGAGAAATCGAGAATTTCTTGTCACCGTTTTTTACTGTTCATCTTAAGATACATAATAAACTCACTGTACACATGAACTTATGTAAATACGCTTGTGTTGTTGGAAATTAGTCCCAATAGTGCAGTAGCATCTGCGTGGTTGCATAGACCAGATATTCACTCTACGTCAGGTCCTATGGCAATGTTTGTCACTGAAAGGAGTACCAAAGAAGTACATTAACCTCATAAAGGCTCTCTACTCAAACACAACTGGTTGAGTTAGAGCCTATGGCGAACTGTCATCAGAATTGATTACCTCAAGTGGTGTTCGTCAGGGCTGTCCACTCTCCCCATTCTTGTCTAACTTTGTCGTTGACATGCTTTTGGAGATAACACTTTCATCATCTCAATCTCCAGGAGTTGAACTTTTACCGGGAGGCTCACTTGTTGACTTAGAGTACGCCGACGACATAGTTTTATTTGGTGAAGACGCTGGCAACATGCAGAGTCTTCTGACCACTATAAGCAACAATGCAGGCATGTTCGGGATGCGATTCTCTCCCTCGAAGTGCAAAATGTTACTTCAGGATTGGGTTGCATCGACACCTGAACTAATGATAGGGAGTGAAGTAGTTGAGCGTGTTGACTGCTTCACTTATCTTAGGAGTCTCATCAGCCCTTGTGGTCTGGTGTGTGACGAAATCTCAGCACGGATACAGAAAGCTCGTCTAGCTTTCGCCAACTTGCGTCATTTATGGCGTAGGCGAGATATCCGTTTAGCAACAAAAGGACGGGTTTACTGTGCAGCAGTTCGTTCCGTCCTACTTCATGGCAGTGAAACATGGCCGATAAGAGTAGAGGATATTCGTAGGCTACTAGTATTCGATCATAGGTGTCTTCGACGAATTGCTCGTATATCCTGGGACCACTCTGTAAGTAATATAATTGTTAGGAAACGGATACTAGGTAAGGATGGCAAATCGATTGATAAAGTAGTGAAATGGCTGGGACACGTGTTAAGTATGCCCCGACGTGCAATGTTTCATGGTGTAGGAGTAGGTTGGAAGAAAGCTAGGGGCGGCCAGACCAAACCGTGGCACAAATCCACGAAGTCACTGACAAGTAAACTGAGCCATGTTGGTAGGTGTAGACTACCTGGTTGGGATTCGCGAGATGATAGCAACCGATGGTTAGAGACCTTGAATGACATGGCTCAAAATCGTTTGCAATGGCGAAGTTGCATCCACTCTTTGTGTTCTGCCAAATTTTGATCTTCCGAATTCTTCATGTCCGTATCCTTTTTCTCTTTCCAAATTTATTTCACCGTATTATACTCCTTCAATAACATCTTCAAACCCTAATCTTTCGGATTACTGCTTATACTCTTACTACTTCTACCACTATGGGATTTGAATTGACAACTTCATCTCTGTGCTAATGTGGATGGCAACTCGAACTGATGTACGAAGTTCTACGTTGTGACTGACTGATTATTCTAAATCTAGAGTTTTAACATTGTGGAATGGCTCTTGCTCGTTTCTCTTCACAGTCTATCTTGTATTTGTAATTCACATCGTAAAATGATCTCTAGTTATACGATTATTGAAAACTCCACATCACCGAAGATCTATTTTTGTCGTGGTATTGGACTTGTCAGTAATCGACGCTGATATATTATGCTTGCATTTCTCACCGACCCCCCCATTATCTTAATGTAGAATGTGACAGATTGCATCGATCCATACCTGTTTTAGATTTCGCTTCATCTACGACTGTAAATTCCATCAGTTGAAAATGCTTCCTATCTATGTACAGTTGTCTTTTTTTACACAATAGAGATGTGAAATTCAATATCATTGTTTTCTAAATAACAATGAAGACAGGTTCGTTGAACAGTATTCTAGAGTTTCATCAACCACATAAACATCAAATATTAACACCATATTGGTACAGTGCTCAAGATAAAAAATAAGCGTATCAGCAATCAACTGAAACTATCGGACGCGTATAACTAATCAACATCATGGAATTCAAACCATCCAACCTACTCGATCTTGTAAAATATTGTGTCGCATAGATATACCTATCTTCACTTACCACCATACAGTAAGTAATATTCTAAAACCATATTTAGCGCATTTTGCAAAATACGGCATCATCTTGAGTACTCCACATTCCCATGAGGAATATTACACTTTAGTAAGACATCCTGATGTCTGTAACGTATCAGAAGGTTGAGTTGCAAGTCTTTTATCCACATACAAAATATTTTTTTACTTAAAATAGTCGACTTATCACAATTATGTCAAGTAGTCTGTCTACGTAAATTTTCTTATCTGTTATCGTGACAAATCATTGTATGAAATCTCTTCCTACATGCCTCCAAATGCCCTGGTACGGCCAAGAGTGGGGAGAGTCTGCTCTCCCTCTCCAAATGCTCTCATACGGCCACGCGTATATAGCCTCTGCCAGGGAAGTCCTACTCATGGCGGGGGTGTTCACGAAATTGAGGGGACGAAAAGCAAATGTACGGCGCTTTAACCGGGTTGGTGGATACGGAAAGTCCACCTAGGGGAGTTGAAAAACCCTGATTCCAAACCAATGGTGCACATGGACTCCAGTATCCTGAGGGAACAAATGGCATGTGAATCAATCGTTGGTCACCGGTTACCATGGGGCTGCATCTCCTCACGATGCTCCACTGCCTTTTGGGTTAGACCTTCAGATCAAAGGCTCCGGGTGTGGGCCCCTAAGAAAACCACCTGCTTCGGTTTTGGCACCTGGGCAGTATCACAGCCCTCACACAAATCAAATGAGATTTGTGAGGCTCATATTTATCTGGTCCTTTTTTGTACCAATATTTATGTGTTTAAATAAATAAATAAAACATCCCAACAAACAAAAACATGAAATCAAATGTAGCTTCCTATGTTTATTATTTTAACAATTGAACACATTAATTGACATAACAAGTACTCACAAAAAAATAATTAACACCAAGAAACATACATACGTACACGAATAATTATCACTTTAGCAATCTGTACAGACCGTGTCATCAACTGCTGCCATGTTCATTTTTCGCACAACAGATGCAGTATCGTTTCATGTTGTATGTGGAGCAATCCTAAATCGCATCTAAAATAAACTGAATACGACATACTTGAGAAATGCAAACACTTCTCCTGCACACACTACAATCACCACCTAGTATAATCCCACCCAAATTATCGTCAGCAAACGGATCACGAATACAATATACACTTTCTAGAATCCTGGAGCTGTCGTTACAATACCAGGATACCTATTTACTTTATATCCTTTTTGAAGAATGGAGGCTTATCACCCTTGTAATCATACCTGATTTTTAAATCACATACACTGCAATGAAACAATTCATTTTGTATCTCAGATGACATAAAATTGAGTTTGCAGTGCGTCGCCACCAAGTTCCACTATGACTCATAACTACACGTTTACAGAAAAATATATTCAACACATTCAGTATCGTACTAATAATATATAGTTATATGTTTAATGAGTAAAGTACCATTAGCATGGAGGATTTGTGAAGATTGTTGAGTTCTATGGTTTACGCTGCTGACCAATCCTTAACAAGTATTTGCTTCCTATGTCCATAACTCTTACAGAGAATTGATGTACAACAGACTGAGACAAAAGTTATTGGTGTCTGTTAGTAAATTCTCAAGCTTAATAGGTCATTCTCAGTAGACCTTTTGCCGATGATTAAAAGATTTAGGAGCCGTGTCTTTAATGAGTATGGCACAGCCGTGAGTAAAGGCCGTAAACATGATGATACCAACGGTAACCCAAACTCAATATGCACGTTTGTATTTGCTAAGCTTAATCTCAAAACTGCGTCATGCGACTTAAACAATTCTGTTTGGAGATATACTATCGACATTGTCTAGCGATTTGCTGCTAATAAACAGCCTTAGAAGGAACAGACTTACAGGTATCACCCTGTAAAAGTCTGCGGACAAGAGAGAAATTTTTAAACAGGATGATGATAAGGAGCGACACGATAATTACAAACGTCAATTGTTTATTACACCTATCTAGAGATCTTTTCCTCCAACTTCCGAAAACCATCAAAATTGGTCATAGAGATACACTATAGTTTTCGTGAACCCAAGTATTTTATTGAAGATTTCTACAAATACGGAATTTTGACGATATAAATATGTAATTCTCCAAGACATTCCACTAAGGAGAAATTCCATGAATTTCCTAGGTAAAATACCTGTATGTCTACTTTAGGTTTTATACACCAGAAACTAGAGCTTATTTTTTGCCCATGATTCCTATATAATTCACATTTTCTTAGAAAATTCCGCCCACGTGAAAACTTGGCTGTCTACTAGGTACTCCAGTAAACAGCTGTTGCTTATGATGTACTTTATGTTCAAAACTACTTCCTATATTTTACCTAATCAAACCAATTAAAATCGCCAAGTCGGTAGACAATAGAAGTAGTCTTTTTCCGAAATAATTTCCATATCTTATATCATAAATATATTCCACTAGTTATTGTTTCTGTCAAATATGGATCCCCATAACAAACGTAGTTAGTATCGCAATCTCTACGTGATACTATCGTTACTATTCCATTTTTGCATACGTTTACTTGGATTTATTGATATCACCTCCCAAGTAAGTTACCAATCGGAACTCCTTTAGTATGACGGAGCGACATATTGACTCACAATTTTAGATAATGGCCGCTTCTACTAGTTAGAGTTATCTACGAACCTTTTGGGTTTTCGAAAGTAACGTTTACAGTTCTGTTTTAAAAAATGCTTTTTTAACCTATACACAAGCTTCTGTTACCAATTACGTAAAGGGGAGGAATACGTGCTGTTTCCAGCAGTTGTATACCAAGAACGAAAATGTAACGCAGAAGTAAATAATGAAAAACTAGAATGGACTTCGCCGAAATACAAAGTGAAGCATTTTATTGCCTATGTGTGATTACAGAAAACAATCTTCCTTCAGATGACTTACGTACAGCTGTTGAGTTGAAACTAACATTCGAAAGAACTTTTAATTTTCATACAGCCAATATTGATCAGTATGGTACACTAATATTTCGTTTAAAGAGGCTGAATAGGTAAATCGGAGATTATATGTAATAACTGTCAGGCTTTAAAAATGGGGGATGGTTGTAGTCTAACTCGTCATCACAAACAACTCGTCATCTACCGAGATGTATTCATTTGATGACTTATTGGCATTTAGTTCTTATAGAAATGCATTCATATCATCATCCGACCCATCCAGTACAAAGTTACTCAGATAAAAAAAAACTAGGCATAACGAGTAAGTTGTGTCAAAAAGTACTTTTATTCTTGCAGTATTAAAGCTCTTGGGCAGATGAATACTAAAATTATCTTGGAAGTTAGCGACTTACCAGATTGTGTAAACAAGTTAGAGGTAGCGTAAACAAATCATCTTTTGAAATACAATATATGGAAATTATTTCGGAAAAAGACTACTTCTATTGTCTACCGACTTGGCGATTTTAATTGGTTTGATTAGGTAAAATATAGGAAGTAGTTTTGAACATAAAGTACATCATAAGCAACAGCTGTTTACTGGAGTACCTAGTAGACAGCCAAGTTTTCACGTGGGCGGAATTTTCTAAGAAAATGTGAATTATATAGGAATCATGGGCAAAAAATAAGCTCTAGTTTCTGGTGTATAAAACCTAAAGTAGACATACAGGTATTTTACCTAGGAAATTCATGGAATTTCTCCTTAGTGGAATGTCTTGGAGAATTACATATTTATATCGTCAAAATTCCGTATTTGTGGAAATTTTCAGTGAAATTTGTTGTGAATCAAAACCCGAGTAAATGACAGGTTTTCTGCTGCATCTGTCCTAAAATCTCTGACGGGAACGTCGAAAGATGCACACCAAATCAGTGTTTGGATAACCGTACGCGCGTAGTCTAATAAACGTGTGAACTCCGAGACCCAAACAACCAACATAGAGGAATATGCGTTAGAATATAGTGCACAAACGCGCCAAAATGTCTGCTTTTCGCCTAAATACACGCCGAATTAGTTTCGAAACCTAGGTTTTCAGACAATAACCCAGAGACGATTGTGAAAAATCTGTAAACATTGTGAAAAATTTTAGTGGACATTAATGGTTAACATTTGGTCGAAAATGTGAGCTTTTCTACTTAGTTGGAAGTCATTAGAATTCAGTAAACTTCTACCGTACATTCTCACCACGTGACGTCTGCTTTGGACAGAGCTCCACATTCAGTATCCAATATATATGTTTCAAGCTCGCCCAGATTAATTGATTTCTTTGTGTTTACTTCTGGTCGTCTTTGTATGGAACTGGATTTTTGTCAATGCCTAATGAATATAATCCTAGTCGCTCAACTGCGCTAATTCTTATTAGTTCTGTAGTCATATGTGGGTTTGTGCATCTAGTAATCTGACGGAGAGCATCTGTCTGAAGACACTAAGGATTTTCAATGCCGGCAGAATGTCAAATTTTTTCAATGTAAGCAGTGATGAACATAAAGTTGGAATGCTGACAAGAGACGAATTTCTTAAGAAATAAATCAATAGTTCGGCAGTCTGATTATTTCGCAAAGCAGACAGTATGAGAAGTCCAACGTTTAATAATAAAGTGGGAAACGAGGATGACAACGAGCGAGATGGCAAGCATTCACCGACATGTGATAATGATAAATGTAGGTAATTCACGAGACATTCATAGGAATATTATATGGTTATCCATGAGTATATGTTCGTCGAGCCGACTTTTGAAGCTGAATGGTCACTGTAACTAGTGTTCGTTTTGGAGTGTGGGCAACTCTTAATGAGAGAAAGTGGGAGCATATCTAGTATTTCGCTCGATAACGTTTACGTTTTTTGAGGGTTACCTAGCGGAGCGTAGTGATCATGCCCTGGTAGAGTGTTTGCGTTTGGGTGACGCGGCATATTTAGTGTACCGTTCAGTCAGTCAGTCAGTTGCCATACCACATTAGCACAGAGATGAAGTTGTCAATTCAAATCCCATAGTGGTAGAAGTAGTAAGAGTATAAGCAGTAATCCGAAAGATTAGGGTTTGAAGATGTTATTGAAGGAGTATAATACGGTGAAATAAATTTGGAAAGAGAAAAAGGATACGGACATGAAGAATTCGGAAGATCAAAATTTGGCAGAACACAAAGAGTGGATGCAACTTCGCCATTGCAAACGATTTTGAGCCATGTCATTCAAGGTCTCTAACCATCGGTTGCTATCATCTCGCGAATCCCAACCAGGTAGTCTACACCTACCAACATGGCTCAGTTTACTTGTCAGTGACTTCGTGGATTTGTGCCACGGTTTGGTCTGGCCGCCCCTAGCTTTCTTCCAACCTACTCCTACACCATGAAACATTGCACGTCGGGGCATACTTAACACGTGTCCCAGCCATTTCACTACTTTATCAATCGATTTGCCATCCTTACCTAGTATCCGTTTCCTAACAATTATATTACTTACAGAGTGGTCCCAGGATATACGAGCAATTCGTCGAAGACACCTATGATCGAATACTAGTAGCCTACGAATATCCTCTACTCTTATCGGCCATGTTTCACTGCCATGAAGTAGGACGGAACGAACTGCTGCACAGTAAACCCGTCCTTTTGTTGCTAAACGGATATCTCGCCTACGCCATAAATGACGCAAGTTGGCGAAAGCTAGACGAGCTTTCTGTATCCGTGCTGAGATTTCGTCACACACCAGACCACAAGGGCTGATGAGACTCCTAAGATAAGTGAAGCAGTCAACACGCTCAACTACTTCACTCCCTATCATTAGTTCAGGTGTCGATGCAACCCAATCCTGAAGTAACATTTTGCACTTCGAGGGAGAGAATCGCATCCCGAACATGCCTGCATTGTTGCTTATAGTGGTCAGAAGACTCTGCATGTTGCCAGCGTCTTCACCAAATAAAACTATGTCGTCGGCGTACTCTAAGTCAACAAGTGAGCCTCCCGGTAAAAGTTCAACTCCTGGAGATTGAGATGATGAAAGTGTTATCTCCAAAAGCATGTCAACGACAAAGTTAGACAAGAATGGGGAGAGTGGACAGCCCTGACGAACACCACTTGAGGTAATCAATTCTGATGACAGTTCGCCATAGGCTCTAACTCAACCAGTTGTGTTTGAGTAGAGAGCCTTTATGAGGTTAATGTACTTCTTTGGTACTCCTTTCAGTGACAAACACTGCCATAGAACCTCACGATCAACGGAGTCAAATGCTGCCCTAAGGTCAAAAAATACTGCGATTGTAGGACGTCTGAATGTATGTCTATGTTCTAGGACCTGACGTAGAGTGAATATCTGGTCTATGCAACCACGTCCAGGTTCGAAAAACAGCCTGCTTTTCTCTAGTCTGCTCTTCACGAGCTTTGGTTAGGCGTCCAAGTATTATTGAAGCTAATATTTTAGACACTATATTAGTCAAACTGATTCCTCTGTGACTGTCACAGTAGGACTATTGTCCTTTCTTATAGACTGGCACAATCAGTGATTGGGACCAGTCAGATGGAATTTCGTCCAGATCCCAGATTCTACCTAAGACCTCAGTCAATCTCGTTGCTAGTACCACCATCCTTAAAAATCTCAGGAGTTAACCTGTCAATGCCTGCGGCTCTCCCTCGCTTTAGATTTTCTATAGCTTTTTCAACCTCGTAGAGAGTTTGGGGACTTACCTCAATTTGCCATTCAGGACGACTGTGGATCGTGGGTAACTGAAGTGTGGCTGAAGGCCAGTTGAACTGATCCCTAAAGTGTTCTGCTCATCGATCCAATCTCCTGGATTGAGAATGAATGATATGCCCATCTTTGTCTGCGATGGTTTCACTGATACTTGGGTTCCTAATGCCGGTTTCTTTAATAAGTCTGAATAGCTGTCTGCTGTTACCTATTGCCGCTGCCTTTTCCATCTCTCTTGCTTTCGCTACCCACCACTGTTCACGATCATTGCGTAGGCTTCTTATTAGCCTTCGCTTAAGTTGACTCCGCTCTTCGTTACGTTCAGAGCCAGATGGGATGAGATTTCGAGCATCTATCAGTGCGGTAGATGCTGCCGAGATCCATTGTTTCTCCCTGACCCTATGGCTTACCTTACTAGTGGATACCACTGCTGCTTCCACAGCTTTTCGGATGTCATTCCACGCTGCTTCGGGGTGGGCACAACTTGCAGGTCTGTTTGACTGTTTTTCCAGTTGTTCCTGAAATATATTCTTAGCTTGCTTATCATTACGTAGAACCCTTAGAGGCTTCCCTGCAGTGTCTTTCCTACGTCCTGTAAGACGCAGACAGATACGTGCTCGCACTACAGCATGATCTGAGTTTAAGCATGTGCTCCAGAATGAGCGACAGTCTTCTATCGAGCCCCTCCATCGATGGCTGATAGCGATGTGATCTAATTGGGTCCAACGCTGGGACGAATTCGGGGGTCGCCATGTCAAAAGATGTTTTTCCTTATGCTTAAAGTTAGTATTTGCAAGAAATAGGCGGTTATCTGAGCATAGCTGCAACAGACGGTCGCCATTATCTGTTCTTTTCGCCATGACACCATAAGACCCACCCAGGTGTCTTTCCCCTTCACTTAGTTTACCTACTTGAGCATTGAAGTCACCTGCCACTATTACTATATCAGAACGCCTAACTTTTCGGAGAAGGTCAGAAAGTTTCCTGTAAAACTCATCTTTTATATCGTCTGAGCTGCAGTCAGTGGGAGAGTAGGCAGAGACGACGAAGAGACAACGACGAGTTTCCCTATCTTTCCGAGTCCTTACTGATCCGTTTAGTCGGACAGCGCATAGACGACTGACTACTGTGATCCAGTCTAAAAGAGCTAGTTCTGCCCTAGGACTTAATGCTATACCTACTCCAGCGAGGCCACGGGAAGCAGCGTCAGGGCTTCCAGATACACGAAGAGTGTATCGAGATGGTTCTTTATTTTGATTAGGTGAGGTCAAATGAATGACACTACTCGGATCTTGTATGCGCGTTTCGGATACACAGCACTCATCGATGGTGTACATTAAATGTTTCTACATTAAATGAACTCCGAGCATTATATCTCAAGTCAGTGTAGGTCATACTAAGAATTCATATAGAAATGAGCGTTTGTTTACTGTCACATCTAACCGCACTTTGGGGTATGCTTGCAACAGATCACCACTCGTTCTTTCTAGTTCCGAGAAACATGGCGTTCGCCGGTTCTCAAGACTCAGTGTGCGTAAAATTTCCTCCTTCACAATAGATATTAAAGCACCCGTATCAAGTAGGATAGTAGTTTCCACTCCTTGCAAACTACCTCCTTAGTGTGATAGAATACACTGATATAGAACAGTATGAAGACAAATAGTAAAAACTAGGCTTACCTTGATTCCAGATTCCATTATGCTCACATTCCCGGGCTCTCAGACCAAAGCGTTGGCAGTAGAAGAATTGAGTCTTCCGATCCTGATTATTAGTTCGTAGCGATTGTCTAGCTGACATATGTTTGACCGCGTTGTTGGGGATGTTAGATCCCTAGAACTCATATGGTAAATGCCTTATTTTTTAAATTTTACTTTAAAAATTTGAATTTCTTATTTTCGCGTCAAAAGCACCATTTTCACCTTCACTCTATACTTCCCACTTGGGAGGACCTTAAATGTTATTTGTGTGTTACCTCTTTTAATATACTATTTTATAGTGTTTCTCAATGACATTCTTATGCTGTATATACGCTTGAGTTGTGCCTACTTATGTTGTTTGAGCTTCTGGCTGCTTGTGGTATACAGTTCCCTCTCCATAACTTCTAAAATTATGGAGTCCCTAATATACACAAATACTTATTATCCCCAAAGTTCTTTTCACTCCAACAGCATGGTTTCATTAAGGGTCATTCTTGTATGACCAACCTCTTGACTGCAGTGGATAAATGGACAACCATCCTTGATCGCAAGGCAGGAGGTTGACGTCATTTACCTGGATTTCTCAAAAGCTTTTGATAGGGTCGACCACATATGTCTTATCAATAAGCTTAGACGATTGGATATCAAACCCCCTCTAATTGACTGGCTCGCTTCATATCTAGAAAACCGATATTTTAAGGTTAGGGTTAACTTCACTTTCTCTCAGGTCATGGAATTTCCTAGTGGGGTTCCCAAGGCTCAATACTAGGACATCTTCTCTTCTTGATTTGCATTAACGATCTTCCTCAGCAAGTTTCATCTGACTTATTGCTTTTTGCTGATGATGTGAAACTTTGGAGAGAGATACGCAACTGAGAGGATATGCTGGCACTTCAGGAGGATCTGACTCGACTTCAAAGTTGGGCAGACGACAATGGACTTACCCTCAAAACTTCAAAATGCAAAGTAGTCCATCTGCGACATGTTGCAGACCATAGTTACAATTTGGGAAACTCCTCTCTAGAAGTCTCCCAAGTCGAAAAAGATTTAGGAGTGTTGGTACCCTACGACTTGATGTCGTACGCTGACTGTGACAAAAACGCATTTCAAGCAAACCTTGCACTGGTAACATTGAAGAGCATTTTTGGCCAGTTTGACGGTAGAACTTTCCACATAATCTTCAACGGTTTTATTCGTTTCCACTTAGTGTACGGAAACATAGTATTTCCTCCCTCCCTCCAAATAAAGAAGTACACTCTGGAACGTATCCAACGTCGAGCTACGAAATCAGTGGGGTAACTCAAATTCAAGCATTATGAAGAACTTCCCCAACCACTTGACCGTTACTCATTAGAGTACAGTCGTCTTAGAGGTGTCTTTCTGGTGGCTTACAGCATCCTTAACACTTCTGGGCATCCGCTTAAACACCTACTTAATTTTAGTCACAATACAAACATAAGGGGTAACATTCAGAAACTGGAGACCCAACATAGCAGGACGGACTGTAGATACAACTTCTACTCCTTAAGAGTTGTCAAATGCTGAAATTTGCTGCCGATCGAGCTAGTCCAAAAATCTTCCCAGGAGTCCTTAAAAAGATAACTTGATCTATTCTTAAGGACTAAGGATGGTATCTTACAATGATTTACTAATTACGTTTTCCTTTATTATCGTTAATATATCTAGGTTCTTGCCTGGAGGCATTGGTTATCCATTGCTACTAGACACTAGAAGCGAAAGCCTCTCCTATTCCGTCCACAACTGTTTGAACCATTTATGCTGTATATACGCTTGAGTTGTGCTTATTGTTGTTGCTTGAGCATCTGGCTGCTTGTGTTATATAGTTGCCTCTTCTGAGTTTGCATCTATCTCTCTAGTTAGTGGGGCTAGGATGCATCGGGATAGTTAGCTTATTGGACATCGTGTCACTGAGTCTTTATTCCGTTCGTAGATTAGGTGAACTCCTAATCTCTTCAAACACAGCACACGGAAGCAGTCTGAGCGGTAGCAATGTGATGCGCTGCCCCAGCTTCTTCGATAGACGTTACTGCCGGATGGGATGCACCCGATGGAATTGTTAGTTTATTGGTGTCTATAATACGATGAACCGTGGTTTTTAGATCCCGCGTGCTAGTTGGTGGCACACGTAGATGTAGTCAGAGCTAACCTGACAAAAGCCCCTCTTTTCGTCCACCGATCTCTATACAAGGGAATGCATGCATGGCTATCTGCCATAAAGAGTAGAAATACTCGACTGTATACTTGTTTGGTTTTTGTTGGTGGGAGAAACTGATTGCTAATCTATCGCGTGACCGCAGGCATGAAAAACATTCCACCATCCTATACGCAAGACGTGCTGAGTAGAGCAAAGAGGTGTCTGGGTCCTGAGCATCCGAACAGTGTTGAAAGCAGCATGAGAAAGTTTGTATGCAACCATGTTTTGGGACTGACTCACCCGCTGTGTTGTCGACCACTACGGGTTGGAGGTATCGTAAGAACTGGGATGGTGACCTGTCACCTAATGTTTCTCCTCGGAATAGCCTTTGAATTCTTTGACCGTCTGACAACCATAGACGAATCATGTTCTCACGTTCTATAGTAGTGTGTGGTCATGAGTTTGAGGGATTCAAAATAAAGTCACGGACTTCTTTGGAGATTAAATGATGGGGGACAGAGTATAAATCCCAGGGACAAATTCCCTCATATTTAGTATTGTGCCTCATGGAATAATGCTCTCGTTGAGCAAACCACAACTCGAAGTCACTACGATCAAATTCTGGGAGTTGAGATTTCGTAATCATAGCAGTATCCATCCCTACCGGTGACCAATTGAGTCGGACATGTGATATATAGACTAATATATCATTACAATATAAACGGGGTAAAATAATTATATATGAAATTTATGTCAAAGTTAATCCGAAGGCATACATCTATGACAAAACAAAGGATAAGTAAAACGAAAGTTAATTTTTATGTTTAAAACTGAGCCATCCAATTTTGTGCAGGTGTATACCCCTCGTTTTATCGATAGAAAAAAAAACCAAACTTAATGTTAAATAGGCCCTTATTCAGATCGCGCAACAGATCAGTTGTAAAGCGAAGTTATTTTTTTTTCAAACACAAAGTTTTGACGCTGAATATAAAGTGACAGGAAATATAATATAAAGCCTACACAAAATAAGGAAGTAAATAAATACTTGAGTTATAATGTCTTGATATTACTAAGGTGTTTGCAGATGACTCTTAACTAATCAACCTAAGTTGAAAGCATGAGTCAACTTTGAAACGTACTAAATCTCCACAAAACCCCTTCTGATAATTAATATAATCAACCTAAGTTGTCACAAACTGACTGAAGTAATATACACCCGATTACAAACACAACAGAAATAGTCCATATCTAGTCACCAGTGCGAGACCTTGATAGGAAAATTTCATCCAACCACCTTTAGAAGGCTAATAGTGAAATCTGAATAACAATGAATCTTAATCAAGCTAAGCGCACCTTTTGTCAATTTGACAGAAATGTTTTACGTCTAATTTTTCAGACTTCCGTTCAAAGACCTTAAGAGATTAGAAATATTGTATTTATGCTTCATTTTTAAAAGATAAGAACGTCAACGTGCACTTTAATAGATGAAATTCGGAATCAATTTTGGGACTCTGATTCGAGCCTTAGGAGAAATCTTTTAATCTTTACCCAATAAAATGTAGACAACTCACAGATAACCTTTTCCTGACCTATATCACCCTAAATACTTCTGGATATTCTCTAAAGTGCCTAATTAAGCTTTATCCCAACACAAACTGCGTGGAAAACATCAAGAAAATAGAGGTACAACGTGGAAAACTCGGTTGTGAAGACACGTTCTACTACTTAAGAGCAATCGGAATTCGTGACAGAGTGAGGCGATCCAAGTGACTTTCGCGTGGTAATCCATAAGGTAATTTATTGTAACCTTAAGGACTAAAAACAGAATTTCATACTAATTTGATGGATTGGAGAAAGTTATTACTATCCTTTCAACAACATTTTAAACAATTTGATAGGTGTTCTTGGACAGGGTCGAAAACTTCGGCTCAGTTGCACTGATCGATGTGGATGAAGAAAGAATTTCGAGTTTTCTACAACAATAGAGAAATAGCCAGTAGAGAATTGATTAAAACTTGTTTTGTCAAAATATCATGTTATGAACTTTCAACTCCACTTGATATAAACAATTTACATCGTGCAAACTCGCCCACATTCATTTTCTTGTTGTGCGATCTCGAGATAGACTCTGATGAGGGCTTGGAAACCAGCTAAAAACTACATTATGGATACAGCCTATGGAAAATGTTACGGTTCATTTACTGCGATCAGCATGGAATGGCTTTCAATATTGTTTCAAACGTAATTACGAACTTAACATAAAGTCCATAGCATTTTTACATTCTCTACCATCTACAGAGACGCGAATTCCTTAAACCAAGTACAGAGACGTAGAACTAAGTGGGTAATGAGTCTAAGAAGTACGGTTTTAGGTACTACACCTAAACTTCCAGAAAGTGACCGCTGAATCCTAAGGTATCTTCAGGATGCATTTAAACCGACCAAGTATTAACTAGATAAGATATAATTACCTTGAGAAATCCGGAATGTCACAATATTTTTTTCAATGACATAACTGAGATTGAAACATTGTTTTGATGAACATCTTACTGTTTGGGTTATAAAGAATATACCGTGTGAATGACCTAAATTTGTTTGGTGCAATTATAAATTGATAAGTCTAAGAGTTAACTGGTCGAAATACAGTACGATATGACCCAACCATCAGTTGATATGAATAATAAATTTATAAATCTCATATGTTTTTCGTTCAGCACTCTGATCAACGATATTAGGAATACAATCTTCTAAAAAAGTAAGTTATTGCTACCCAATTAGAACAAACTTGTAACGCTACACAACAGTTGACGCTAATCAATATAACGAATAATTCAGATGTTTGAAGCTTCTCTTTCAAGATCAAATTTGTGTTTCATAGAGTATAGGTGTTATTATTCACCAAGATTGACTTTTGACGACACCAGTAAAAAGAATTTAATGGTAGTGTTCACTTTGGAAAAAATAAGATACATAATAATATTTTATGACCCTTTCAAATATCTCATATCCAACTGATTCTAACCCTAAAAAGCAATTGAGTGAAAAATGAAGTATTGATATATCATATGCCAGTTTAAGGGACACATATCTTTCCAAATCTCCACCAGTATTGAAAGTACAAGACTTACCATATAACTGTTCAATGAGTAACATGCAGGGCTCAATTGAATGTAAGACTCGTTAATCAAAGACTAACAAGTTTCATACATTTACAGTTTAATTACGATTCTTTTTAAAAGAAATAACAATATACTGCTGATCTAACCATGACAATCTGTACGATGATAAAAAACAAATTAACCAAGTTGTGCCAATTCATTGGAAGAAAGAGGATTAATAATAATTAAAGTTATTATTCGAAAATCAATCAGTCGCTACGTTGCCTAATTTATAAAAGTAGGAGAAAGAATTAACAAAATATTTTGATGAATGGTCAGTAATATAGTAGTTATGTATATTATTGACCATTCATCAAAATATTTTGTTAGTTCTTTCTCCTAATTTTATAAATTAGGCAACGTAGCAAGCGATTGATTTTCGAATAATTACTTTAATTATTATTAATCCTCTTTCTTCCAATTACTCAATGTTAGTTTATAATCGATGTCATTATATAATTATTACGTAACGTGTCTACTTCATGAGTGTTATTTAATTATTGTAAATCATATATATATATATATATATATATATATATATATATATATTAGTGTAAAGCCATGATGAAAAACTAATTGAAAAGAAATTTCTTCGCTCGATTCGTTCCTTTTTATTTATCAAATGTCGAAATGGGAATTTTCACTTTATTGAGTTAATTGACTGAGTTTAAAACATCTTCCCTTTTCTTTTCCTTAGAAAGATTTTGTTTAAACAAAGAAACAAACAAACATTTAAACACTTAATAAATAAATAAAACCAAAACCAATCTTCATAATTTACAGTACCAAACAGAAAATATTTATATTCACTCATCTCAATTAGCTTATGGGAAAAAAGCAACACACACCTACAACTCTAAGCAACAATAATAATAGTGATGATCAAAAAATCGAACATGCACCAACAACAAGATCATCTTATCAATATAGGAATGCGAAGATTGTTGAGTTTTACTTGAGATCATGAACCAATATCAACGGTGGTCTAACATTGATTAGTTCATGATTTCAATTAAAATAAAATCATCTTCTTACCCGGTCGTCTCTTGCTCAAAAAAAAGAAAGGACGATGTGGGCTGTACTTTAGAAAAAAAATTACAATTTGAAAAATTAATCGGATAGAAAAAATATAAAAATAGAATAGGAAAATTGCATTAATCAAGTATTTTTATATGTTTATTCATCAACAAAAACAAATTTTCCTTGTCAGTTCTATTATTATTATTTCAATTTTGAATTGTTTAAATTAACTGTAAAATGTCCAGAACCGACTCGAAAATTCTCCTCAAATTTATAACCATTTCTTAAAAGATACTGCATAACTGCTGGTCTTAACACTGGAGCTATTGACACTAAGTCACTTTCATTACCAGCTGCTCGACCAGTTATCACGGTGATATATTTCAATGATTTTAATCGATTTAATTTATCTTTTAAATAGGTTAAACGTTGTTGTAATACATGTAATGCGCATGATTTACTTAATCCATGTAAATCAAGATAAGCAAATGCTAAACAAGCTGAATTAATTGGTTTCTCTCCATTGGTCAATAATTCATCTTCATATAATGATGATCTTGTATCAACAAGATATTCAGCTTTTTGTAATTCTAAATAATGCAATTGACTTTGTAATGAACGTATCTAAGGAGAATTAAAACAAAAGTTTAAAAACAAACAATTTAAAGGATAACCAACACGTGCTGAACAGAGATTTTGTTTAAGGTTGAAATTATTCATCAGCAGGTACTTACATAACTGCTTTATTAGAAGTGAATCCAAGACCTTGATTAATCAAAGTTCAGTGATTCATGTTTTTAACGTCACTTAGTCTATGATATAGGATTAACATGTACTAAAAAGCTAAAGCGTTCATAAGGAGACCTGAATCCCACCGGTCCAGACCCTTTGTGATGTTCAGCCCTCCCTCCTACGATATCCAATTTTTCTCCTGTGCATCCAGTTCTCAAAATAATGGGGTTATTATACTAGGCTTATTCTGTACACAGTTCCGTATTGTTTTATAGGTCATGGAGGAAGAGATTATGAATTTGTCAAATACACGTTTTAGTTGTTTAAGTGATACACTGTGATAAAATGTGCTCGACTAGTAATGGCAACGAGATAGAGCTACTGACACAAGTCCACGCTGCACTCCTAATGACTGGATATGAATATGCAACACAGTTAATCATCAAATAATGTTTTTCTACCTAGTAAAATAACACAAATAAGCACAGAATATGTGTCCTTGATTTTTTAACAAATCTGTCCTTCAATATAAAAAGCTAGCATTTTTCGTTCATCTATTGAGTGAATGTTGCACATAAGAGCATAAATTTTATTGAGAATTTCATTTTCAACTCTAACTTTCACGAGATTTGTTTTCTAATTCAATAAAATTGGGAAGCACCACAGTAATGTATTCACAGAAGACATATGTAGATAGCTTTAGATGAGTGAAATGGAATCGTCAGTGAATTACAGTCGTTATAAGTTAGTTAAGAAGCATATCTTTACTATTTTGCAAAATAAAATCTTAATCTTTTACATTTTTTCCGAGATCATTAAAGACTCTGTTTGATTATCTGAACAAGAATATGAGAACCTCAAATAATCTTTTATTTCCAACCTACGTATGAAAGTAAACCAATCAATTATAGACAAACTCCTTATTTAGTCTCTATACCTCATGACTTCAAAATGCAGACGGTAGCGATGTATTAAGCAATACGTTTGGTCATTTACCATTACAATAAGGAATAGAATGGTCAGTTACTAATTAATGAATTATGGTGAACACTAAGACTAAGAAGAAAAACCACAGAAACAAAAAAAACAAATGAAACACAAACCTCAGTTATCTGAAATTGTTTAACTCGATTATCTTTAGAATATGAAAGATTATTCTTCATTTGACCAATCTTTTGTCGAATACTAGCTATCTTTTGGTTAATCAAATTTAACCAATCAGTATTATCAATACTGTTGTTGATAAAATCGGTTACATAACCTTGACTAGATGAAACTGGTGAAGCTCTACTATCATTATTATCGACATTTTCAATGTATTTATTTACAGTTTCGACGAGAAATGGATTTAACGAGTGAGTTGTAAAACCTTGTTTTATGAGATAATCAGAAAGATTTTGCTCGTTTAAACTAAATTTAATAGAAAAGAAAGCAAAGGAAAAAAAGGAAAAACAACATACTTAGCATGAAATTACAAAATTGTACAACATAATTACATAGAGCAATAATAGTGACCATGATAATTTTTTAATTCAGTATCACATGAAACAAGTTATTCACACCGATCGTTCACAGCATTGCAACAAATTCCTGTCTTACATCAATATATGCGGTAAAAATATGATGAACGGATGAGCTTAAAACAACCGAGATGAATTTCTGGCCAACTTTCGGCCAATCAGAAATTGATAATTTATGGGAAAGAAAACAATATGATATAACGGATGGTTTAAAGTATTTTTCTCTCGCTCAAGTATACTACGATTTTAGAGACCCCACATCTGACTCCATTTAGATTGTATGAATGAAATCGACCTCACTCGCGTATGCGAATAACGGTATTAAAATAAGTCAAATACAAGAATGGATTTCGAATACGTATATTTTGTACAATCATTGATCCAAGCAGACGATCGAATGAACGAAGCGAAACGAGATGATGCGCGGTGGACAAGGCATATGAGCCAACTCGATTTAATCAAGAGTTGATCGATATTTATAGACGAACATAATAAGTTACAGACATGTGATGAGTAAAATAAGAAATGCATACACACGCTCACATAAAAACAGTCAAGGTTGATAAGTGAATAATTGACAAGGTCAAAATGTAACTCAAGAAGAATGAATAGACTGGCTTGTTCAGAAAGTAGAATGTTATGTGGGACTTAACATTGTAACCGACACTACACTATAGTACGTTGATACGATAATAAAACTAGTTACATTATATCAGATTCAGGATTCAAGACCCAGAACAGAGAACCAGATTAACACTAGATAATACCTTTATTCGACATAATTACAAGCATTCACACTCAGTGAGTTCGGAGTAGAAATCAATAGCAGGAAAGGAAATCACATATTTGGTAGTCAGTATGCTGTGCCTGTTTGCCCAGGCTCAACGACTAATTATATTTCAGTTCCACTACCACAAATCACCTTCCCCTCTAAGTTTGTAGACAGCTTGTCCCATATTCATTTGAAAAGACTGATCAGAAGAATTATGACTTGACATGCATGCCTTTATCTCCACCCCCACGAAACAATGTAGGGACCTTATGTTGCAATGTTATGAATAATTGACGTTCCCAAACTGCATTATCTCATATCTTACGTTTTGTTTGTATGCGAGTATTTAGGCATACACATTGACATATAATTTCCATGTGATTTTGACTTGCATAAAAAATATAGTACATGTGCTCCTTTCATTGCCTTTCACGTGAAAAAAACACAAGCCTATTGCTCCAGTTGTAACATGAATATGCACTTTCAGAACTAGTATGTGTGATTAACACATGTGAAACAACTGAAAGACAACCATATGGAACATATGCATTTGCCTCATACTTAATAGGACTCAATTTAGATTTCTCCTTGTACAAACTTTTCGTCTGGGCAGACTGGTTCTCTGACTGCTTCGGACAAACTTGCCGTGCCCTCTGGTTCATCATGCCACTGATTAGGGAATCTACTCAACACAGATTGTGAGAATACCCAAAATCTAATAAAATAATATTAGGAATGTGACTAGGATTTGACTCATTTGGAACATATTTGTCACATTCATTACGGATATCACTAGAAGCAAATCCGTTGTGAAGACAAATGATATCTGATGGGACATTATAAGAACTGTAATCAGATTTTAATTCATTTATAACTTGTTCCTCACATTTAATTAAGATTTCACTAGAAATAAACGAATCATTAGTATAAACCACATCTGATAAAAAGGCATCAGAGTTCACGTCAGGATTTGATACACTCGACATATCCTTCACATATTTATAAACGATTTCATTAGAAATACATGAATCAATAAGATAATCTTATCTGGTAAAATAATATCATCAATCCGATTCATTTGAAATATTATTCTCACAACAATCCAGGACTCCACTCGATATAGTTAAATGATCACTAGACTAGTCGGAATCCAAAATCGAAACATTTGGATCTTGTCCAGTGTTAACATTATTAGGACAGTTTTTTCTATGATACTGACAATTTCCATTTGAGTTTGCACAAATTGATCCAGTATTACCTCTAAAGTCTATTTTTGATTAATAAAATATATCCGACTACAAAAGTAGGTACGTAGGTTCGTTTAAATAAACCGCTCCGTCGCCAAATTTGTTATGTCACATGGCCCATCAAATATGTCGTGACAAGATCGCCGACCAGAAAACCGACATATGTGATCTTGTCCCTATGATAAATCAGTAATGCGTTCACCAACAAGAGCATCCGTGAGTCAACTCTCAGTTCTTATCGGTCCCCTATGTGGTAACTTCTTGCCTAACCTAGCCCACTCGGTCCACAACACAAATGACAACCTCCGCCGTATACTTCAGACACGTGGTTTATATAGAAGCAAATCAGACCGCATCACACCATAAAATGAAGAATAATAATTGTAGAAGATCAAGCCAAAAGTGGTTGTAAGTATAGGAGACCGTAATTAACAGAGTCGGAATAAATTAGGAATGGTAAATCATATAACGGCAATCAATAAGTCCAATGGAAACTTATGAGAAAAGGAATATAAACATATGTGATCTAATTACTTAATAATTAGACGATAAGAATATATATATGGTGATAGTCTATAAATAACTACTGGAAGTTACTACTCATTCTTCGTTCGGACATAACATAATAATATTACATAGTATAAACAGATTTTTACTCAGTTAACGAATCTATTAACATCTTTTACAGGATACTATTACTTGTAAATTAAATAAGCAACAATATATAAATTCGTCCATGTGAACACGGACTGCCCGTCTTCTCTAACCCCTAAAAGGACCTAAATAGTTTTTCTAGGATTGTTTATATTGCTCTTGGTTAGGGTAATGATTTAGAATTAGGGATTATAGGTTATGGTTTTCATCACGAACTGACATCAGCTATGATGAGGAAATTCGCTATATAGTCAAATGCATTAATGAATTTCATGCTATCTGATTAATATGTCCATATGGTGCCACCAGATTAAAATTTATTCGAGGATTAAGATTCAGAAACAGTGTTGATTTGCCTGTTACATACAATATACAGAGGCGGAATTGAGTAGTTAATACGTTTAACAATATCAGTTTTACTCTGTAGAATCAGAAAATAATTTTTCGGTATCATTTAAATCATCTCGAACAACATACAAAGGTACTTCTACTGCTCGTTGTATGTTGTATTCGAATTTTGCGCAAAAACCTGGAAGCTGTATTCTGGATTCTGATTGGCTTGATCCTACTAATACTTAGAACGGTATGTATAAAAATGTTTTCTAACAGTGATTAGCTGTCAGTCATTTTCATCAATTTCGCTCTCATGACACTTTAAATCAGACAACATATATTTGATACGTGAATTCCAAAATGAAAATTGGGAAGGAAAGTAATAACAAACATCTAGGTGGTGTTGCCTCGTGTACACTTCGAAGTAATTAGTTTTGAGATAGGCTGCAAGTTTTTTAAAAATAACATCAGTGCATTTGGCAATTAAAAAGCATAACTAGTCAGTCATAATAAATTGAGAAGATGGAAGTCTATTTGAATATTTGCACAGTCGGAAAGTAGGTCCCCAAAAAGTTTAGAATAGATGATTGTCACCAACTGGAGACCCATCAAAAACTGAGAATTGAAGACCTTTTTTTCATTCCAGTTTGCGAATACTCGTTTAACAGCATGCATTAACAATTCTAAATAGGATTTAATTCAGAATCTTCAGATCTTACAGTAGATAAGATAAACTTGGATATCAAAAAGTTGCAATGATCACATGGTCTTCATATTTCGAATTTAATCAAATTTGTGGTGTGACACAACCCTTATACAATGTTGCCGTTAATTTACTCATATTTTCTCGCCTCTAATGAGTCCAAAGAGGAAACTTTTTCAAAGTTATACTGGAATGAAAAGCAGTCCAAGAGTGTGGGCAGTTTATTTTAAGTAAACCGATTATTCACCTCGTCAAGGTCACCAACACCCAAATATCTATGTTTGAATCACTCTAGTACTCTAGATGGTGACGCAACTGACTATTTGTGAGGAGAATAGTACGAAGCGGCAACTACTTAGTTGAAAATCAAATCCCGAATATCGCCAAGTCACTACTTCACAAGTTTCAAGCTATATCACGATCACGACTAGATAACCCAAATCATTTCAAATTGTTCTGAACAGTTGCTACTAATCATAGATATTTTTAACTCCAAATATAACATTTAAATAACTCGACAGAAATACATATATGTATACCCATTTATAACAGAGTGCATGAGGTTTACTTCAGCTTACAGGTACATTATGCCAATCACTGACAACCAATACTCTAAATCCTCGAAATTTCATATAATTAGTTCTTTTTAAAAAAAACATAGGAATAATAAATGTGAACAACTTGAAATGAAAATGTATTCATCATTTCTTGCGTTCTACTAGATCTTTCACGTACTAACACAAATATTCTCTTCTTTAAATGAAGTATTTTACAAATATAAAGGATCTATTTTGTCTGAGAAATATGAGTAACGTAAACCAGATTGTTTGTATCAAGAAAAACATGAAGTAATCATTATAACTGGTTCCAAGAACCATAACCCATGGAAGACTTCATGTTATCTAGTCTCTATTAACAAAATTTTTAAGCGAATTTATTTCCAGTAATAAAAACTGAAAAAGGGAATTTTTCATGATTCATCTACATGATCTTTTCTGTTTTCTGATTGGCATTTATTATTTTCGTTTTGTGTTATATTTACCTTGAGATTGGGTTCAGAACGCATCTTCTGTAATTGTTAATTACGAAATGATTGAACTTATTCTAATACAAACTAATTATATGGATGAACTGATAGAACAACAACACTTTAACGCTAATATTCCAACTATTAATATGAGATAGAGAAAACGTGAATTTCAGGATAGATTTATACATCGAACAAATGTCAAAAGTTGGAATGGAACAACTTTGTTTAGTTCGAAATATCTTTTGACCTTGAGAAATGATAGAATTGGCAAATTGAAAGGGAAAACAACTAATCAGATTTCAGCAGAAGATATCACCGAAGTTATCTTTTAGCGAAAGAACTAACTTGTAATGACAAAAAATCTAGATAACCTGGATTCTCCCTAACATTCTTCTAATTCTCTTGTGTTCTAAATTCCTGTCTTGTTGTTATTTACACAGAGCTGTTCTTTAATTTGGACTTCGTTGAGTATAAAAAGTTTACTGAACACCTGTCTTCTTGAGTCTCATCGTCAAGACAATTTTTAAAGTGTTGTGTGCATCGGTGACCTTACTATTGAGCACACATTAAGAGAATCTAAATTGTTCGTAATTAGAAATCACCGTTGGCCCAACTGATTTCCAATTAAAAGATATGATACACAGATATATATTGAATAATAATAATAATCATAAATACTTACTCAAATCGAATGAAAAGATTTTCCAAATAATTTATTTCTATTTCAGGAAACTGTGCTTTTAAACGACTCAAACAAAGTTGATTAGCCAATGTTAGAAGACGCTAAAAAGAGAGATTTCATTTAATAAACGGATAAACAAAGTAACTGAACACTATTGAACTGAGAAAAAAACAGTTTAATAAAAATAAGAGTAAAAAGAAATATATGTCGTGAACATCTTGTTGTATAGAACTGTAATAGGTGAAATTTTGTACACTTTAATAATACACTCTTCGATAATCAATTGAACTCCAATTGACAATTATTTAAACAAGGTATTAATCAACAAAACAGCTTTTCAGTGTGATTTTTTTTTGAAATAATATATAACTCACCTACTTACTTTAGTGTGACACTCCGCGTAGGATATAGAATGCCTATTAAGAATCTCCAAGTAACTTTGTCGCAGGCTCCTCTTTCCAATGGTTACCAATTACTATCTGTGGTTGTGATGTTTGTCTCTAATTCCCGGTGTCATTTGTTCTTTGGTTTGCATCTTTTTCTTTAGCCCTAAGGATTTCAAGTTAAGACTTGTCATGTAGTAGAATTTGATGAAACCTTATATACTTTTTGATAATGTCGATTTCTGTCATTTACCTGGAGTAGTTCGAGTCATTTAGTCGAGCGAAAATTTCGAATTATTTAAAACTCTATCATTGAGATTATTTCAAATATAATATTTAAATATAAAATGTCATTATACTGGGAGCTCAATTTTTATTAGACTATTAGTTCAAATCCCAATAGAATTTATCTATTATAATGTAATGTACAATAAAATGTTTAACAAATGACAAATATTTACAATTCGTCAACTTGACTTTTGTAACTATATGATGTCGAATCACTTCTACGTGCTAATAAGTAGCACATTAAATATACCAACCTCATTAAATAATTCAACTGCCATCCTGTCATACACAACAATGTAATTATACACTAAGTAATATACAAGCTTTTTGAAGAAAAGTTATTCCTTATGAAATTACTTATAATTAAAAACAGAATGAGTTAAATACTAGATGTCATTGAAATCATTAATCGATCTAAGTTAGACCACCATTGAAAACCTGGAAGCACTGGAAGGCCGTTTCGTTCTAGTATGGGGCTCCCCAATAGTCCGCGTCCACGACCCGTTGTGTGGCGATCGAACTGAGGATCCCTAGTTCCGAGCGCGAATGCTTAACCTCTAGACCACTGACCCACGATCCACAACCCAATATTGATATTAGTAGATTTACCGTAGAGCAGAAATGTGTTACAAATTATGATAATTAAATAAAATATTTGTGATATTCCAATAGATAGGGAATTAACTGTCTGTAATTTCTAGAGTAAAATTCAAGTATCGCTTTCGTTTTATTCAAATATGAGTAGGATAAATTTACTTTTGTGAGTTTCCTTCTTTGCTTTTATCGTCGTTAATGCGAACATCAACACTGGGTAACGAGTATACTCTCAGTTGATAAGTCCCAAATAAGAAGAAACTTACGACTAACAATAAACCCAAAATTTAATGAATAGGCCAACATTTATATAATTTACTTTTCTATATCAATCATTATTTGTAGAGAAATGTTTAGGGAGGGGGGGGAATGCTTCAAATCGATAATATTGTAGAGCGACAAGGACTAGTAGTTTGAGAGGAGATCGACAAACACTATAACAGTGTTATATTTCATAATCTCTTTAGATAAATCATTCATACGTACTTCGGAAAGTTGTGCTGATTACCTTGTATCAATCCAATCAGAAAGTTAGTGATAATCAGCGTAGAATCTGCCACATTTTGTAGATCGGTTCAAGTCAACACAGCATATCATATCAGTAAAGCGAGATGAAATTATCAAGACAAATACCAGAATGATAAAAGTGGTAGTAGTATTAATGGCAGTAGGAAATGTTATTTATTTAAACACATAAATATTGGCACAAGGTGGCACCAGATATATATGGGCTACACAAAACAATAATAATGGGAAAAGAAAAAGGGGTGAAGTGCATATAAGAAAAAAAGAAAGGAACGATAACAACCACAGATTAGTGTATCTTAGTGTAATAATAAGAGTAATAGTGGGGGAAACAGGAATGTACAACCAGAAGAACTCTTTCAGTTAAGGAATTTATAACCACACTATATGAAGAAAGTAAAAGAAGGTTACAGCAGGATAGCCACCGACTTCTACTCTGAGCAATATCTGATAACGTCTCTAGCCAGTGTTGCACGATCTCTAGGACCTCAACCAGGAAGTCATGAAGGACCAACAGAAGCTAGCCCTTTGGAGCTTTCTTTCACTCCACGGCACCATGTCATACACTGACCTCCTCTCCGCTTTTTCCAACCAGTCCCAGGGTCGGCAAATAATGCACGACGTGGAATTCTCTAGGACGACATTCGTAGAACATGTCCAAGTCAACAAAGTCGATGTTTTAAGATCGTGACGCCAATCGGGTTATCGTCTCTGCGCCCGAAAACACGATGCTGAACCTCTCCATTACTAACATGGTGTTGTCACTGGATGTCAGCAATCCTTCGGAGATAACGATGATCGAACACAGAAAGTCGTCTAACATCCTCAACTCGGAAAGGCCAGGTTTCACAAGCATAGAGCAAAACTGCTCTCACCGACGCGTTGTAGATCCGACCTTTTTCAGCCAGACTAACATCATGAAGGCTCCAAAGATGGCCCAGATTGGCATAAGCCGCTCTGGCTTACACTATACGTGCATCAATCTCATCACTCACGTCACCACCAGCACTTATGCAGCTACCTAGATACACGAACTTCTCAACTACTTCAATCTACTCACCACCCAGGGTGAGTACAAGATCATAGTCCTGCCAGTCTTGTAGAGGTACTTTGCACTTTGAAGCTGCAAAGCACATACCATACCTGTGGACACTGATTGCCAACTGATTAAGTGCGGATTGCATGCCTTGGGCATTGTCGCACAGTAAGACAATATCATCCGCATACTCAAGGTCGAGAAGTCTTTCTCCAGGCAACATATCCACACCGCCATTACTTACATCCATAAGAGCTGTTTCCAGAACACGTTATCGGTAGCGAAGTTGAAAAGGAATGGTAAGACAGGGCAACCCTGCCTAACCCCACTGCTTAAATGGAACAGTGGAAAGAGGTGGCTGTACGCCCTCACTCTACCTCAGGTGTTTGTATACAGAGCCTTTAGGATGTTAATAAACTTCTCGGGTACACCCTTCTTCAACAGACAATCCAAGAGGAAATATTAGAAACAGACAATATGATTCAAGAAGAAAAAATAAATCCACCCAATCAAAAAGTACGGAATAACTTGAAGATTCAAGATCTAAGAGATGAAGTTATGCACGTAAACAAATCATTAAGATGGAATAAATCATTATCATACAGAAACCGTACAATGTTAACATTTTCTAATATATTTCTACTTTCTTTCAATTAGCCTTAATAAGTAACATATATATCTGATTAAGCTGAATGTAATAATAATAATTATAAAGTATCATATTATTTCCACTGATGTTTATTGGAATCCATTTTCAAACATATATATGAAAAGAAAAGGTTAACGTTCACTTATAATGTATCTATCTATCTACCTATGTTGCCTAACTAACTATCCCATACAAAAACTCATGTGAAACAATAATAATTATAAATTTATAAATGGAAAATGTTAATGCTTGATGATAAACATTAGAAGGATAATGTAGAATGAATATGATCTATGAAAGAATTTACCAATAGAAAAGATTGCACATAGATAGAAAAGGGAAATAATCATTACAGTGAGAGTAGTAGTAGTAGTAATAATAGTAGAATTAGAAGTAGGGGAGAAATAGTAAGTGTTTTTCTTTACGTGAAATAATATGGATCAGAATGAATAATCCCAATATGGAATTATGATTACCAATATTCATTATAACATGAGCTTAATCACTAATTCAACTCTATGCATTGAAGAATTGTTTCTACATTTGACTAGACAAATGGAATGAATAGGAATTATTCACCGGAGGGTTCGACTACACTTCAATACCTCAGAAAATAAAGAATTTGACCTCTGTTAATATGTGGTGGGGTTTACGGATATAGTATTTGTAATATTTTATATCGATTTTTAATAAATCTGCTACTGGAACCCTTATTGCTCCCTTCTAAGAGGCTTCATATAACCCCAAACTACTTATACACATTAACTGGAACAAGAGAAAAAATGTGCAAAATACGAGTAAGAGCTTCACTCTAAGGTTAGTTCATGTACAGAAAGTCGAGAGCACTTATAGTTATTTGTGACACTGAGCTTTTAGAATTTTCTGAAAACATACTAAACGTAGTAATGATATCTAATCAAAAATGTGATACATGATTCTTCATTTTCTAGATGTTTACGAGAAGCCTCTACTAAACCCGAATTGGATAAACCATTTCATGGCGTTTTGTGTGCCTATAAAGACATTGACGATACATCTTTTTGGGACTCCCCAACAATTCGAAATTCGTCACTCAAACCGTTGGGTTTTAAGTTGAATGAGAATGGTATCAAGAAGCCTATTTATTAACATATTTTTAAGATGGAGAAAAAAAGATCGATGCATTTGTGAGCATGTGGATGACCGAATATCTGTGTCACGATGCACACGAATAGAAACTGGGAATCCATTGTTGAATGTATGAAACTGGAATAACAATATTTTCAATCAACTGATCACTGAGTAGTGACAAATGTCATGTTTGTCTAATACTTGTAGTGCTGATAGAATTCAATCGATCAAGTTGCACTGTGGCCACTTGTCTAAGTGACTCAACATCCTGCGCACTATATTGAGATGTTAGGTGGTTGGAAGTAGTTGTTATGCTTGACACTAAATCGATTCCGCGGTAACGAACGAAAAGCCAATGACACAATGACACGATAAGCTATTCTAATCGGTTGTCCCAGGCCCCGCTAACTAGATGAAGAAGTCCAAGGCAAGTAGGGGAATATATATATGTATTCCGTAAGCAGCCGAGTACAAGCAATCAAATAAGGGGAAAAGTCAAGCGCATTTATACAGTAACAAATTGTCCTTGAGCATCATTAGTAAATAGCACACATAAAGAAACAATGGACCAATAGCGTTTAAGATAGTTTACAGGTGGGAAATATGACGTGAAGGTAAAAGAGCGCTTTTGGCGCGAAAACAGCTAAATTCAAATTTTCAAAATAAAACTACAAGATTAAGCCATTTACCAAGTAAGTTCTGGGGATTTGACATCCCCAACAGTAGTTAACTAGAAACCATAGGTGTAGGTTGGGTCTTAGCCAACACTCCTCAGAAAGGCATATCTACAATCTTAAGCAAATTGATGCCCCCTGTGGGATTAGAAGCAGTATCATAAAATCAGAGCCTGGGGTATCCATGCCAACTATATATAGTCGCTTAACTTCTCAAGATAGTGCATATGATGGCCAGTCGTCAATCAAACTAAGTGGTCACATTAACACTTGATTAACAAAATTTGATCAGAGCTCAAAATGACTGGACAATTATGATACTAGTCAATACTCAGTGATCAATCAATCAGCTATATATACATCACATTAGATATTTTCACGTGAACAGAACTAATCCATACCATGTAACCATCCTTAAGAATGTGTACACCCTTTTTAACAAATTATTCACTAATGTTCCAATTAAGAAAACACTAGATATTATATGTAATCTATTAGATTCTGACACTGATCTTAAACAACGCTGTCCTTTAGTTACCTCGGATATTATTAAAGCGTTAGATCTATGTTTACGTTCAACTATATTCAGTTTTCGAGGGGATTTATACAGACAGACAGAAGGTGTAGCTATGGGATCACCAGTTTCACCAATTGTTGCTAACCTCTTTATGCATTCATTGGAAACTAGTGCCATCTCATTATGTTCTCAGGCACCAAAAATATGGTTAAGATATGTAGATGACACCTTTGTCATTATAAAACGGAACCATTTGGATGAACTGTTTAAACTTATCAACAACTTTGATAGAAAAATCAAGTTCACCAAAGAGTTGGAATCTCCTGAAAACACATTACCTTTCCTAGACTGTTTAGTGGAAAGGAAAGTTAATAATAGTAGCTTAAAAATTAGTATATTTCGAAAGCCGACAAATTCAGAAAAATTTCTAGATTTTAAATCGGCACACCCACACTCAACCAAAGTGACAGTAGTCAAAAATATGATTACAAGAGCTCAAAAACTGGTCACTGAACCAAATGATATGAAAACGGAAATAAATTTAATTACATCTACCTTAAGAACAATTATCCAAAAGATTTTATTAAAAGAATAATTAAGAATGAAAGAAAAGACGATATTATTAATACAAAAAGATTACAGAAAAAGGAATGGGTTAACACAGTAGTGATCCCATATCGGAAAGGAATTTCGGAAGATATTCGAAGAATCTTAAATAATCAAAATATAAGAGTATTTTTTCGAACAAACAATACTCTAAAATCAAAATTAGTAAGAATTAAAGATCCAATACATAAAGAAGAACAACAAAATTGTGTCTATGAAATCAAATGTAGGGATTGTAATGCAACATATGTAGGTGAAACATCAAGACAACTGAATGTGAGGGTGAAGGAACACAAACAATGTTTGAAACATATTCCTAAATCCTCAGATGATGTAAGGAAATTGGAGAACAAATCAGCTATAGCATTACATTCGTTAGAATCAGGTCATACAATTGATTTCGATGGCACAAGAATCCTTTAAAAAGCTTTTAATTCTTACAAGGAGAGACAAACAGCTGAAGCCCTATACATTTGGGCTAATCCAAACAATATTAATAGGAGGGATGGAATACAATTAGCAGTGCCATGGCAGCTAATCATTAATAAGTAACAACCTGAACTCCTTAATGTTTTTAATCGAATTCGTATTATCTAAAATGACAACAATTACACTCAATGATTCTATTCTATTGTCTTATCGGAAATTGTTAAACAATTCATTGGAACATTAAAAATGACACATACATACAGTCAAAATTACGCTCTTCAAATCTCACTCTTTTATTATTTTTATATTGTTTAATTATCTTCATTGTTATACATGCTGTGACACAGATATGATTCATATCATATAGATTACAAATTGTATGTTTCCTTATAAATTCACTGATAAGAGACAATATATGAATGTGAATGTAATTTTTATCCTCTCATCTCTTACGTTTTCTACACAATTATGTTATATGAACACTCTTCACTACACATCACATATCTCTTAAACATACCTAGTTTAGACTATTGTTAACGTTGATTGGATGACCTATTCAGTGTATAATGAACTCGGAGAACCATGTACCTATTTATATTCGATAATTTTGATGTTTGATTATAATTCCTTGAAAAAGCTTGGACCAGATTGCCAGGCGAAACGTTGGATTTAATTTAAAAAATTCATTCGCTGAGATTTTACAAATATATTATTCCTATATAAAAAAGAATGTGACAATGTTGAATATCACATGAGTGTGTGTTTCACTAATGTACAAATATCACACACATACGTAAATAGTATATGTGTCAGAATATACATTTAATTATTCTTTGAAAATAGAATAAGTATTCACAAATTCTAAACAATCAATAGATCTTAAATTTATTTTTCTGTTACATCATCAGAATGTTATAAATGGACATCAATCAAATGATTTTGAAGAGTTACAGGGTATTAAATAACTGTTCCACATTACAATGAAAATTTCTTAGGGAAATTATAAAAAAAGCTATGTAACAATAGAATTAACTACCCCAAATGCACTGATACGGCCGAGAGTGGGGAGAGTCTGCTCTCACATGGCTACGCGTATATAGCCTCTGTCAGGGAATTCCTACTCAATGCCTTCTAGTGGCATTATAGTTGTTTACGAAATTGAGAGGACGAAAAGCAAATATCCGGCGCTTTAACAGGGTTGTTGGACACGGAAAGTTCACCTAATGGAGCTGGGAAACCATGATTCCAAAACAGTGGTGCACATGGGCTCCAGTATCCTGAGGGAACAAATGGTGTATGAATCAATCGTTGGTCACCGGCTACCATGGGACTGCATCTCCTCACGATGCTTCATTGCCTTGTGGATCAGACGTTTAGGTCAAAGGCTCAGGGTGTGGCCCCCTAAGAAAACCACCTGCTTCAGTATGGGAACCTAGGCAGTATCACAGTCCTCACACAAATCAAATGAAATTTGTGCGGCGCATATGTATCTGATGCTTCCTTGTACCAATATTTATGTGTTTAAATAAATAAATAAACTACGGAAATAATTAGTTATGTTTAGATGAGTAAATTTTGTGATTTGAGTTAGTTTTAGTGAAAAAAAAATACAATAGGTTTACTGACATTATCAGCGAATAAATGATGTGATTAACATCAAAAAGGTAATATCTGTAGAATATGAGCTTTCAAACCTTCTAACTATCCTATGAACAATTTATAAGATTTCGAAATGATCGAGATTTTGAACTCGCTGGTAGATCCATCTAATCGTATTTTGTTGACTGAACTACTTTGAATGATTGTGCTAGGAAGCTTTCTTTGTTATTTTAAATAATGTCATCAGTTCCTATGTCGTATATAATATAGTCGATAGGAATTTGTTTAAAGAATTGTCAAAACTTTGGATTTAAAAAATTAGAAGTATGTCATAGAACTTTAGATGAGAATTCATGTTGACGATCTTCAAACAATTGGGGGTCATACATGCGCCTTGTCGAAGACCCCCAAGTAAAAACAAAACCAAATAGTACAACATAATTTTCAATAGATTTTTGTTAATGTCAACTTGCGACGAAATCTGTCCTTTCCCATTATTATCCCTATAAATGATAGGCTGGACTAGTCTAGGCATAAGTCACGTGCCTGTGTCTACATTTCATTGCAAGACGAAACAGCAGATGAGAAATTACAAACGAGAGATGCTATTGAAGGGAGCCAGTTATACTTTTAGTCAAGATCACAGACTATATCCCCTTTTCTGGGTCAGAAGGACAAACATATATATATATATATATATATATATATATATATATATATATATACTAATTATTTGTCTAATTTTTCATTCTGTTTGCCAGTTAAAGCTTTCTAGTTATTTTTCAGTCTCCTTATTGGTATAGGTGGTTGACCAAGTGTATAAGGAAATGTGTGTATCTGAATCAAGCGTCGTAAAATGTAATAATAACCGATTCAGAATTAATAAAAATTACATACATCTTTCTGATCTTCAATAGATCTATTCAGCGCTTCCTCTTCGTCTTGAATTTCTTGTAAACTTAAATTTTCTCCCGTAGTCTGATGATAATCTAATCCAATCAGATTATTATTACTATTATTAGGTATAAGAGTTGAATTGACGGATTGTTGATTCACAGTCAACATGTTATTAGGGCACTGAATAGACGATAAATTGCTAGTGACTGTTGACGTTGTTGTTGTCGTAGACTTTGTGACTGATTCAATGGTTGATTTATAATAAGTTAAAAGATAAACTTCTGTCCGAGCTTCATCAAATCTAAAGAAAACATTATAAAATCTTGCTTGATTGTTGTTGGTTTTTTTCAAGAAAAATACATTTTAAGTGAATTAACACCTGTGGAAGTAAGTCCTTAGGCTCTAATCTGACTCCAACAGTTATCGTTCTATACTACCTCATGATATTTCACGGTTCAAACGGCGCCATCACTTCAGACAAGATGGTGTAAAACAAATAGTTAGTAGAAGTTTATAGAAAAGTATACTTTAGAAAGCCAGTGAAATTAGACAGAGGGCAGACAAGCAAATACAACAATTCATAATCTTGAATAAAACTCAACATTCTGCACAACCCTATACTGATAATTATCATGTGATCATTAGTAACTAGCCTCGATAGGTTATTCTGGGAGTTCTAGTAAGAAGCCACAACCAGTAGATTTCAACCGTATCGGGTGTGAGGCAGCTGCCCAGCAAATAAATGAAGTATGATCGTACAATATCGCGGATGACAGGAGACAATTTGAAAACCCGCTGGGAGTGTGTACATATTCAATGAACACAATAAACACACACACAATGTATATTGTTCGAATATTCAGTTAAATTATCAGGTGTATACAACATAAGACTGGATGTAACATAAACAAACCAAAAATAGTTTATATAACTAAATAATCATCAACAGTTAAGTAAAATGTTCAATGGTATACAAAATAGAATTACTATGAAACAAACTATGATCAATGAAACTGGGATAGAACATTTGTGGATAGTTATCAAGCAGTTACTGTATTTAGTCCATCCCTATAGCCAAAGGATTAATTAGAGTCCAAGTGTTTGGATCTTTTACTGACATATAGATTATAGTGAGAAGTGTTAACAGATAAAAGATACTGATTGTAGGATTTTGACCGATTTTATTAAACATCTAAACAGTAAAATACAATACAACGAATAGCATGAAACTCTATTTGGTTACTCTACATACGATGCTTTAGCTCCCTAATAAGATCATTCAAACAGTATCAACAATTAGCTTCTATAATGTATACGATTAAAAGACTTTCAATACGTTTTGTCAGGAACTGTAGGGTCTAATGCTCTTAATAGAAAGCATTAATATAAACAGTTACCAGATCATACAACACAATCAAAAGTCAATGTAAACCTTTTGACTGAAGTTTATGAAACAAAAGTTTGGTCGACAAGGGAGTTCGAATCAACGACGAATAGGGTTACCAACACAGCATAACTGCAATGAGTCAGGAAGAACCAGTTTACTTTTTACGTCTCACATAACCTAATTATCCAGTTGCATTCACTTTTAAAAAAACTCATCTCAGCTTATATTAAAGTGATCCATCTGAGGTGATCAAATATTAAGGTAAGTACACAATGTTATGTGATACTCTTTTGTACAGAAAAAATCTGAAGAATCAACACCATAAATAAAGATAGTGATACGAATTTTACAGTTTGTTTGATAGAGTTTCTGATCAATGTAACATACGGGATATTATTTCTAACTATATTCACGACTAAATTTCGTATCGATGTCAGTTAAGAACTTTGTCATATGAAATATTATAGTCTAGATAAATATGACAAAATATTGAAGATTTTGTGCGATTTGAGCTTGATAGTTTGATCGTGAAGTTTCCATTATCTTGAGAATATTATCAGCATATACTTCAAAAAGAAAATTGATTCACCAGGGTTCTCGATACCTACGTATTGTATCATAGGACTATATTGCACTATTAAGGCTGTAACGGCCTTGGATGATGTCGAGATCTGAAAACTAATGTAGAATTACCCTATTATAGAGTTTACTCATAGTCGTTAGATTACGTTTTGAAGTATTTGACGATGATGTTGCTTAAAAAGAGAATGAAAGCTTTGCAATTGAACTATCAAGCTCAAAGAACAGAACACATCTTAAATCTTCATCTTGTCTTAAAAACATTTTCTGTCTCATACCATTATTTATAGAAAGGGTTTGAGTTATTCCTTAGTCGAAATAATTGACTAAAACTTGATCAGTATTTGCTGACAAGTGAGGAATCTGTGCAAATTGTCTAGATATATTAAAGCCGTTGCCCAAGCGAGTGACTATCTGAACTCATTAGCTCAGCAGATATCGTATTGAGAGTTGAGAATGCAAAAACCTGGTTCGAGTTCTGGTATGAGTGTGAACGCAGATACATCTAAGTGAGTTCAAATAGGTCGAGACGATTGCTAGCCAAAGTGCATTTGCTTTATCCTCTGTGCATAGTCTAAACCTCAGTCAGAAAGAAGAACAGATAAATCAAATGGTTTGTATCAAATCCCGAGATGATTTGAATTTACATGTTCACTAATGAGATCCAAAGTAATCTCAATTAATAAATAATAAATATGTAAAAAACCACTTACTCGCACCGAACAAATGCTTCTTCAACAACATTTTTTTGTGTCCCAGGGAATTTGGACATCAACCGGTTTAATATCACACGTATGACGGGAGTATTTAAGGACTGAGGAGAACGGTAAACAACACATGACATCAATAAATGAGACAAAACATGACATGGAACACACCAAAATAAAATGAAACAGCTAGTTACAATAAATATAAACAATTAAAAATGCGAATAAACAGACTTCCTCCTTTCAATTACACTAGAGTAGAACAATGTTAGTCTAGTGCACATAAAGAACTTATAAGTGGCGGTACTTTATAAAAACATTAATTTCAATAGCTGATTATTTACAAACTTCATCATTTAAAAGGTTCATGGTCCTGTAGCGATCTCCACCTAGTGATTTCCAAAACATAACTATCAAAAAGTTTTTCGAGGAGTGAAAACATTTTCAACAATATAGTGATAAACCTTACGTTGGAACAAGTAAATTATTAGGACACTCAAAGACAGATCGTTTTAATGAGTAAATAAATGACCAAACTTTACACCAAATGTTTTTCATTAAGATTACGAATCGATTGATGTTAAACCACCATTTAAAACCTGAGGGCACTGGACGGCCGTTTCATCCTAGCACAAGACTACTCAGTAGTGAGTATCCACGATCCCACCAGCCGGCATCCAGTAGTCTTAAAACCGTGATCTCAATAAAAAGTTAACAATCTCCACAATCCTATGCTGATATACACATCAAATTGCTAAAATCGTGGTCGAAATACACATCGCTCCACTAAGGAATGCAAGTATGTCTTGATAAGGAGTACTGACCGACATTAACCCTAACCTCATGAATTTCTGCCTATTACCTTTAATATACGTATTTCATTCAGTTGTTCTCTTGATCGTATCATATTAGCTACAAATCAGTAAATAAACCAATCTAGTATATGGAACTAACTGTTCGATAATAGTTATTGTTGTAGTACACACTATAATCGGTTTATTTCAAGTCAGTATAAGGTTGTGAAGGTTGTTGGATTTCATTGAAATCACGAACCGATCAAAGTTAGACAACAATCGCAAAACTGGAAGCACTAGATGACTGTTTCATCCTATCATGAGGTTTCTCGACAGTACGGATCAACAACCTCTCATCAGGGATCAAATCCAAGACCTTTGATCTTGAACGTGGACGCTCAACCTCTGGACCACCAAGCCGAGACCAATGATGTACAAGTCTAACTTCAGTCAATTCATGATACTGTTCAACCAACTGTCTTTTTACATCCTTCATTAGTTTTTTATTCTGTACCCCCCTTTAGTACACAGTTTTCGCTCTCTGATTATTTACGCACTTATTACGTAATTTTAATGACTTTTAGAGATTATTATATTAGTGTCCAATTTCCACAGTCCTAACCTGCTTCCTATCTTGAAAAATCGATCGAAATCTGTACCTTTTACTCACTAAGTTTTATAATCCAATTCACTGTTACTAATGACTTACAAACTGTTTTGTGTGGTTCAATATAAATCCTACTTTTGTGTATTAAAGTAAAGCCTGATGAAGATCTAAACAGAAACATTATTGTTCACTTATATGTGTTATTATAACTTTTTGTTCAATTAAAAAATACAGTGAACGCTCGGGAATTGACTGACTTTCTTTTAGCCGACAGGTTAGTTACACAAGTTTTCACCTGTTTCTCCTAGAGCGATTACTTAAAGTTTTAAAACCAGTAGAAATCCAATTGAATGGTTCGTAGTCCGATCAGGATTTGGGATTTTATGAATAGCTGATCAGTATAAAGATAGGGACTTTCAGGTTTTTGTGTGAAACCCAAGACGTAATAGCATTTATCATAAGAAGGAGGACATCACTACTCAGATCAGGAACTTTTATTTACATGGCTATCAGAATATTAAGGAATTTTATGGACCTTTCAGTGAATCTGTACACAGATATTGTGAAAGCTTCCAGAAACAGTTCATACAAGTATTAAAAAACTAGGTAAACACATTGAAGGATCTCATAAGTCAAATAGAACCTCCATGAATGTTCGTTTTGTCATCTTTCTAGCGACAGCAGCATAGAAATCCCAAGGTCAATAACGGAATTACTGAACGTTGACTGAATGATGTAGATTTACTGTTTATCAAATTACTTTTGAACAGTTGAATAAGTTGCTAACATGATTTTACAAAATTATGATTAGTAAATTTTAAAATCATGTCCAAATTCAAATATCTAGTGATAATTTGTAGGTACAAATATCACGCCTCTGTGAACTATTCAGACGAAATCTATTTCAATACTTCCTAAGTTTCTTTGTGAAATTATACGATAGTACTAAACAATAAGATGAGTAATTATATTACATCACATGTCATACTGACGCGGTGAATGATAAAGAACCCATTTTACATCATCAAAGATAGAAACTGAATAAACCATACACCACTTATGCTACTCATCAGTAGATGAAACTTCACATGTAAAATTCCGTTTCAATTAGAACATATATACATTAAAACAAGTAGCGGATAATAAGTTTTTTTTATGTATAGACTCAAATATTTATCTTGGTGAACTGCAAATACAGCAAATAAAATTTTAGCAACAACTATTTTTCAAAGAAGAATGAGACGATAACAAACCTAAGAACACAAATGAAGATGGAAGATAGTGTTCGGCTTCCTTTGTATTTCATCAATTAAAAAAAGTCATTCAATTTAATGAATAATTCAAATAAATAAGTAATGTAATTACCGTACGAAAATCTTCTACAGAACGTAGTAGACCTTCTTCATCATCCATAATTTGTAAGAATGTTGAAAATGATCTCTTTGATGTTACATTTGTTGACGGTGTTACAGTGGGTTTTTTTGTATTCTCTGAAAATGAGGATATTTTTTCAAAAAAAAAGTTTGAATCATCAATTGAAATCAATCGGAAGTTCATCACCAGAGAGATTAAGGAACAATAAAATACATGTGTCAGTTCTTTCTCAGGATATATCAAAATAAGAAATAATATAACTCACTAATCAGTCGGAATTTCATAGTCTACATAAGACAGTGACCATTTTTAGACAGTTATTGAAATCCAGGAGTCACTGAACATTCATTTCGTCATAGCATAAGACTCCTCAGCACTGTACATCCTCGCATTTACTAGACATCAAACCAAACCCTTCAAGACTTGCTTCGGAACTTGCAGATTCAGGGTTCGATCCCTTGAAAGGTTGTGGACATACACTGCTGAGGATTCCCATATTAGGACAAAATAGTTTTCTAGCGTCTCTCGCTTTTTTGGTAGTTGTCTTGATAAGGTCACGCTTGTATAAAGTATAAAAACTAACAACCAACATCGAACTCTTTACGGAAGTGAGGATTTTCCTACAACAATTTCAGTTGAACATTTTAAGTAATGACTAAAGGTGCTATCGAATTCTCAAAATATGAAATAATTAAATGAGTGTTCAAATCCTTGATTGAATGAATGAAAGTCAAGCGATTTAAGCACCAAGACATCATTCCAGTGCCAGTGTTATTAACATAAACTCTTGAATTCTAACAGAATCAAAAATGAGGGATTCGCTTCTCAATGAAGCAATTGTTCGATCGAGTTGAAATAGAATTATCTAGTTTAGATTATTTATTGCCAAACCCTAATTTCCTTTTCCCAGAAAGGTCGAGATTTTCTCCAGTAAACAGTTGAAATAAGCCAATAAATATTCTTATGTTATGCGGATAACTTCTTGATTAATCCAGCAACCTGCACAAGAATGTGTTGCGAATTGCCCTATCCCAATAATAATGGATCTACTAACTCCTGTACTGTACCAGCCACGTTAGATAATCTAAATAAGTCAACTGTCTTCAGTCAGTTTACGAGAACAATTTAAAGGTTATCAAAAAAGTTAGACATTCAATACAGCTTTTATAGCCCAAGAAAAGAAAACTAAGTTAGTAAACAAGACAGAATGTATAGCTTCTTACATGTCAAAGTGACCATTAGAAATAGGTGTAAATTAGGTGATATAACTGAGCCGCAAAGATTCACAAGAATGATGTCTATCTTTTCCCATCACCAATGTCGATTGTTTCGTATAACATCGTACCTCAAAGTTACGATTTGATACATACATGGTAGTAGGCAGCTGAATTGCTTTCAAACATCTCAAAAGTCTTTTGTAAATATCTTTGTTGAATTTTCAATTTTTCGCTTCGAATTTTTATTACAAGTTTCATTTTCAAAAGCTTATTTCTCACATTATTAACTTAAATTTTATCAGTCAGTGACAAAATCAATTATTGGTCTCATTATTCAATTCTATTGAAAGTAATTTTTGTGATCCTAGGGTAACAACAAAGCAATATCAAAACATCTTGTGAACCCAGATCACACCATCTCACCTGATAAGTCCTTTAAAATCATCTGTACAATTAGACCACTTGGTTTGAAAGAAGATTAAATTAATAAGTGATACACTGCAGAAGCGTTAGTAATCTAAACCTGAACTTTGTGTGCAAAAGAGACACCTGCAAACCATCATTCTTTCATGGCCCTAACACTTAGTCCTCATAAACAGTAATTCGATTTTATTATATTCCCCCCATGTTTTCTTAGTCTTTTTAATTTTGATTATTCATTAATATCCCCTTCAGGTTTTTAATTTATTCTTCACCCTTCTAATAATCGTTTAGTGGACAATTATCTTTCTGGTATTTGATTTCATCTTATTATCTCTCTTCAATTATTAAACAACTTTCTTTGACACAAAATATGAGGTAATTATTCTTTTACCTTTTTTTCAGTAGAATATTTCATTTGTAAATTGACTATAAATACGATTGTACCAACTTGGGTACATGATGTAGTTGAAAGGAAAGTTTTCTTCTCTGAATTGTCTTAGTTCTTCTTCAATGACACCAAAGGTTACGTTTATTGTTTGAATAAGCATTTTTCAAAAAATAAACGAGAAATGTATACCTAGTTTACCTAGCTGGCTAAGACAATTTTAATAATGTATCAATCCTTGATCTCATATATATATATATATATATATATATATATATTAAACACGTTAACTGGACACTCGCCATTAGTCAATCAAGTAATAGAGTGTAAGGAATATCCTTCAATGATATATGATATGCTGGGATGGAAAGATGAAACTGTTTGGGTTAATACTTTTTTACACCAATTCATTTTGAATTTCGGTCAGAGTGAGAGGTGATAACTTCGTTCAGTGTACCAAATCAGTATAAACGTTCTATATAACATGTGTAAACATTTGTTCAGTTGAACAATTTTATTACCTTTGTCAATTCAAGTGAATTATATTTAGTGTGTATATTTTTAAAGTAACTTTATGTAGTTCACCCTATATGACACTATTGTGTGTAAAAATTAGTGTAGAAATGGTTTAGAACGACGGGCGGAACACTTTATTGAGCAGTTCAGCTGGCCTTCAGCTACTGTATAACTACCCATTGTTCCCAGAAAACCTGAATGGAACATTGAAGTAGGTCCGGCGAGACTATAATTTATGGACGACCTTTGAACGAATCTTAAGTGACCTTGAGAAATATTAGCCAATCAGTAAACAGTCAGTATAGAGTAGAAATATATCATACAAAACCAAATAATTAAAGTGGATACATTTCTTTCATATGGTCCAAAAACTTATCAAGGTTAGAAAACGGTTCAAATGATTCTAGAATCGTAATGCATAAGGTAGAGGAACTCATCCATATAGCTCCATAATAGTTGGTCTCTGGAGCCATGATAAGGTCACAAAAACCCTCTCAGCCTCGACCAAATTGCTTCATTATTGTTTCTGTACTCCAGTTGTGTAAGTTTATCATTTTTATTATGGATATGTCCCTACAATACTCATACCACTGAACAACCAAACCTTCAGTAACATCTGCGAATATTATAGCCAATGTTACTAGTGCTTTCATTATACAGTTGGCGGCGATTATTATTATATGCCTGGATCGAGCGATAAAGGTTCCTATTCTAGCAAACGTCTTCCTTCAACGTATATTACGTCGAAGGACAACATCACGGTAGTCTGCACAAGGTCTACAAGTCATTAATTACTTGTAATTGCAAATACAGGAACTTCTTAGTAGTTTCATTTGTTGTAGCCACTTAATTGTCAAGTCTTCTCGAAAATTCTCTTTGAACCGATCGTACACGAGCATCAAGTACTGAAATTGGCACCATGACCTTGAAATCCCTCAAACGCTTCTGACTGGCTCGTCCATAAATTATAGTCTCGCCGTAGGTCCCCCAAATCTAGCTGAAGTTCAAAAAGCTATAACTAATCTGAAACGAGGAAGAGCAACTGGTCCAGATAGATTGGCTCCAGAGGTCTTAAAATATGGTGGTCCAATTTCAGTGATTAGGTTGACTAATATTTTGGCTAAAATCTGGGAGTTGGATGTAATCCCATCCGACTGGTCATAATCACTGACTGTTCCAATATATAAGAAGGGGTCAAAATCATCCTATGATAACCATAAAGGGATTAGTTTGACTAATATAGCATCTAAAATACTAGCCTCAATAATTATCGGGCGCCTAACTAAGACTCGTGAACTCGAAACACGAGAAAATCAGACTGCCTTCAGATCTGGTCGTGGTTGTATAGACCACGTATTCACTATTCGTCAGGTTTTAGAACACAGGCAGACTTATCGGCGTCAGACAATGATAGTTTTGTACTTTACGGCTGCGAAACGTAGCCATTAAGAGTAGAAGATACTCGTAAGTTACTAGTATTTGACCACAGATGTCTTAGAAATATTGCTCGCATCTGCTAGGATCACAGGGTAAGTAATAGTTAGGTTAGACACAGAGTATCAGGGGATGATGGTAAGTCAATTGATGAGATCATGAATCTTCATCGACTGAGATGGTTGGACCATGTGTTACGTATGCCTGAACACCGATTACCACGACGCGCTATGCTGACTAGTATAGGTGATGGTTGGAAGAGAGTTAGGGACGGCCAAACCAAAAAGTGGAATCAGAGCTTGAAGTCACTAACTTCTAGTCTAAGCCATGTTGGTAGATACAGACTACGTGGTTGGGGTCCACGCAACTATCGTAACCAATGATTGGAGATTCTGCGTGACATGGCTCAGAATCAATCACAATGGCGTAGGTGTATACACTCTATCTTCCCTTGAACTGTGAGATTAAAATTGCTTCATATCTGTCTTTCTTCCTGTACTATATCCTTTATATACAACCTGTTTTTTATATATTACCACCACCAACTTAACTACTATGAAATCGGTGTTCATCTTGTTATGGTTATTGTTATATCCCCTGGTGAATTATGAATGGTAACTCTAAGGACTATTTATCGACCATTGTACAATTGTTACGTAACTAAATTATTCATATTCGTGTTTCTCTTATCACTAGCTTTATTTTGATATTTGATTTATTATCATACGATTCTTGAGTTATAATCAGTTGATTGATTACTTTGGTTTGTATAAAAACCCAGTATGTTTGTAAATAATGATTCATATTGCCGAGGCTGTTATTTGTGTTCTGAACTTAACGGGCTGGGCTAGGCAGATAGGAAGGACCGAACAGCACCCAAGACTGCTCGTACGATTTCAAGTATCATTTGCGTCCGATCAGTAAAATCCACTCCTCTCTAAATTGGCGTTCATATATTAAATTGGGCACTCATACGTTATATATTACGAGCCCATACGATATAACAGTTATGAGATATGGCAACTTGGACCGATGCATATGTGTGCCTGGTCCTACGTTGTAGCTGACTGACTGAGTGTAACTGTTACTTACCACGACGGATTATGCAAGCTGGATTACGATTAGGTTGGAAGAAAGCTATGAGAAGCTAAACCAAGATATGTTATCAGTCCATGAAGTTATTTACTGTTAGAGTGACCTGTATTAGTAAATGTAGACTACTTTGTTGGGATTCACGCGACAACAGCGACCAGACATTGGAGAACTTAGGTAAGATAGTTTAGAATCTGTCACAATAACCCCGAAGTATTTACTCTTTATGTTGTTATACATCTTGAGTTCAAGGATTCCTTCATACCTAACTTTTCATAATCTCTTCAAACCATATTCTAAATGTCTAATCTTTCTGATTACCATTGCCAATACATTATTTCATCTTATTCGATGTTTATCGCGTTCATTTCCTCTCGTTTAATGATATGGAACGGCAAATCGGACCAATACATATTTGTGTGAGAATCAAAGTTCATTATAACTGACTAACTCATCGATATAAAATTGATATTGTCCAATTTTTCCCGTAATTCAATCAATATGTATGACATCATAATTTAAAATACGCTACATGAGCCTAGTCAAACTAGAATAGTGTTAAAGAGTTCCAAAGTACTACTCGGAAAAGTCCTGAGAGGCCCAGAAATAGCTAGAAAGCATTTTATCCAAATAGCATTCAATAGAGGCGTCTTACTAACATCTAGAAAGCGAGTCACGTGTCACGTTTCTGATCAGATATTTACATACATCGCTACCACACTTAGTAAAGTTCCAGAAACTTAAAGAAGCTCAAACAACTTAAAAAGTTTCGCCAGTAGCACACAATAATTCATTGGAAAGTCTTTAGGAGCTGTAAGCAAAAGGTAACAGTACAACTGGGATATCGTAAGACTGACTATCTTTGCATAACAAATGTGATTGTACTGAAGATCACTGTCCTCGTAATCTACGCAATAAAGACTAAGAGTAACTATATTGTCAACTCTGTTCAGCCAAAAAGTATTCTTTCTAGCTTTATTCCATCCTTTTCAATACTACTTTTATTCAAAATAGTTAGTTGACAGTCATATATACATAAAAACGCGCGTGTAGTCACAAGAATGGTTCGTTCACGGGAGACACCATAAATGATTGGGTTTTTTTCCTCTTCCATATTATGAGCCATAAATCTTAGGGTATTTTAAACACTATACATATTTTAATTAAACTTACGATTTGAATTTCGTGTATTTAATGGTGGAAATTTCGGCGTTAATACATTAGTTGTGCTATTTGAAAGAACACCTAAATGTCGCATAAAACTGGCATAAATTTCTTTGATCAAATTAGGTTCAGGTGTCCATTCATCGATGATAAAGTCGGGAATTGCATCAGGAGCTGTAAAAAATAACCAATACACATAACCACATATTAGAAACACTAAAATTTTACTAAGCTATCACATCTTAATAAGTTTGTGTCAATATAAAAAACCCAATGTATTCAACTGTACAGTGTTATTCTTCTGTTGAAACCCTTCAATAATGACTCGAAACATTCTTTAAGAGCTGAGAAAATGTTGAGTATGTTTCATTCAATCAGATTTGTTTCCGAATTTTCGATAGAATTCTAGAAAAATATAGATTGCGTTATTTCGTGATTGGGTGCTTACTGGTTTTGTTATTAGTTTTGGCATGTTTGAAATTCTTCGGATCTCAAAGTCACACATAAACTTATGAATAATTCAGTATGTTGTACATCAAGTAACCTTCGAAGCTGTTGCGGATGCTTGTTCTCAGAATTCACTCGGTAAATGCTTTATTTTAATAATTGTATTTTGGAAATTCGGACTTCTCTTTTTCGCGTCAAAAGCGCCCATTTTTACCTGCAGATTTTATTTCCCACTTGGAAGGACCGTAAATGTCATTGGTTCGTTGCCTCTTTTAATATGCTATTTTGTGACGTTTCCCAAGGACCTTTTTATGCAGTACATTTATGTTTGAGTTGTGTGCTTGGTTTGTTCATGCCTCTAGGTGCTTGTGGAATATACCTTTCTCTCATCTGAACCTGACCTTCTCCCTTTTGTTAGCAGGGCTGGGACACATGCAAATAGTTTAGTTTTTCTTGTCGTTGTGTCGCTGATTCTTTGTTCCATTCGCCAATTTTAGGTGATCTCTTAATCTCTACAAACACAGAAGTAAAGTTCTATTTTAGACTTCGTGTACTCCATTAGCTCCTCAGAGCCCGAGAGTTAAAATCTATGAGGACGAGGACGTACCTAGAAAGTTTGAGTCTAAGAACTCAAATAAAAAACGTATCACTTTCGACAGATAAGATATGAAATCTCTCGCTTATAGAACTGTCACTTTTAATTCAATGAGAATTTATTAGTTTCTCATCGTCAACAACACTTAAACTATAATCAAACACATATCGTTTAATAATGATCAGGTTATAACTTAGCTTTTGGGCACAATAACGAAAATTCAATTAGTGTTACAATTTTAAAACAGCGAATATGGTAGTTTGGACATGTTTAACGATTTTTGTACCAGCAGTTTCCACTTTGTACATTATTTTCTGATGCTGGAACTGAGAGAATAAAGAGAAGACTGTCGTCTTATGACATGATATTATAATATGAAACACAACTGTATGGAACTTTTATCTATCAACCTAACACGACTTTATGATAGTTGAACACAACGGCTTCAGGAATTACAAGACTTGGTTGAGAGTACAAGTCAATGCGATTTCTACTGTAATTTTCCATTACCTTCTTCATAATAGTAAGATGAAATTCAATTAATTGAGAGAAATTCAACTGTATGTCCAATCATCTACCGCTTTCGTCCACATTTCTTATTCTTCTATCTCTTTATTGGCGTAACATATATTTTTTTATTCCCGATCTTACTTGTATGTATTTGTATTAAATGAAGTATAACAATAGTGGTAATAATAATACAACTACGTAAACAACCGTACTTAAAAACGCTAACCATAATAAACAATTTAAACAAATGAAACTCTGCCCTCCGAGTTGAAAGAAGAATTATCATACCTCATGGTGAAAACCGCGGTCCTTCAAAAGTCACGAGACCAATGTCCCTTCCAACAATCAGAGCAACAACTAATATAAGGTACATGTGTTGTCCGAACAATGTGGGAGACCGTGAGGACCAGTCAAATAGCTAGATAAATGATGAGATACTACCTGACGGTGCTCATAATCAACGAAAACTATTGGAAACAAGCTGAATAAATAAGGATAGATTCGGGCTAAGTGCTGATACACACGGGTCACGTGGAATAAAATACTCCACACACTCAGGAAGTTGCTCTGATGTTGTCCAAAGAAACACAAAATGCACTTATAGCATGGAAATCTCATGGATCCAGCATCTTCAAAGCACCCATCAATGAAAGCAATGATGACGATAAAGATCAGTTTTATGAGAGGCTGCAATCTATCGTGGAGAATTGATCAGAAAAGGACCTGACCATCCTGAAGGGTGGCCTAAACGCTAAAGTCGGAATGGACAACAACGATTATGAAGATATCACATGATGACATGGGGAAGGAGAGGGGAACAGAAACGGCGAGAGGATTGTAAATATATGTCCACCCAACAAACTGGATATAGACGACACAATATTTCCACACAAACGCATGCACAAAGCTACATAGATCTCACCAGATTACACAGTGGAGAACAAGATAGATCATATTTTCATCAGTAGGGGATCCACAAGGTCAATGGAAGACGTGAGAACCAGGAGAGATGACATAGCTACAGATCACCACCCGGTTATGACCAAGATAAATCTGAAGCTGAAGACGTACCAGACAACTGTAAAAAAAATTACAAAGGTTCAATACAGCCATCCTTCGAGATACTGACAAACTCAAAGAATTCAAGATTACTCGCAACAAAAGGTTCCAAGTCTTACACAATCTACTGAAAGGACAAGAAACTACTATGGAAGACAACTGGAAAGGGATCAAATGAGCACTAACTTCAATGTGTCAGGAAGTGCCGAGCAGTAACAAGCTTCATCCTTAGGAATGGATCTGCATAGAAACCCTGGACAAGATTCAAGTTAGGAAGAACAGGAAGACAGAAATTAACAACAGTGAAACAAGAACAGAAAAAATCAAAGCACAAGATGAATACACAGGGACAAACATGCAAGTGAAGAAGAGTGTTAGAGCTGACAAACAGGAATATGTGAAATACCTAACAACGACAGTGGAAAATGCTGCAAGAGAAGGAAATATGAAACACGATACGTGACGCTGAAGAAACTGGAAGAGAAACATAGTAAACCAGAGAGATCAGTCAAGGACAAAGAAGGCAAGACAATCACTGAAACTCAAAGGCAGAGGAACGGATGCGTGGAACACTTCGAGGAACTGTTGAATAGACCAGTTCCATTGAATCCACCGGATATCGAAGCAGCACACACACACTTCCCTTTAGATGTCACTCCACCAACGATCGAATAAATCAGGATGTCCGGCCATCAGACAAATCAAGAATGGGAAAGTAGCTAATACACTCAAGTCAGATACAGCGATAATTCCAATACGTTACACCTTTTATATAGGAAAATGTGGGAGGAGGAACAATTGCCAAAGGACTGGAAAGAAGGAAACCTCAACAAGATATGAAAGAAAGGAGATCTGAGTAAATGTGAGAACTCGGCTACACAGGCATCACACGACCGTAAGTACCAGGATAAGTTTCCAACAGTGTACTTGAACCAGATGGAAGACTCAGGAGACGCCCAACCGCAAGATCAACAGATTGGATTTCGTAAGGATCAGTCGTGCATAGACCAAATCACGGAAAAGAGAAAGACCAAAGAACACATTGTGTTGGGAATTGGAAGCAGACCTGAAAAGGATGAATAAAAACTGGAAACTAGAAAGGATTGCCCAGGTTAGAATTGAATGGAGAATGATGGTGAGCGACCTATGCTCCTCCATAAGGGGTAAAAGGCGTAAGTAAACTAAGTAATGTAACTAAAAAAACTGTCAATTGAACTTACATATATCAATATCTGATAAGCCAAAGCCAAAAGCATACTCTTCATGTGCTGTTTGAAGAAAACTTCGTGAAAACCTAATACCATGTTGATGATTAAAAGTACGGTCTATTTGATTTTCACTTTGAGATTCTTTTACAGATGACAAAGTAGCTTGACTAGGATTAGTCGTATCGTCTTCCGAGACGTTGGAAAAACTAGGTGCGCAAGTTGTTGGTGATAGCGGTGCTGGATCTAAGGCTGCTTCTGTTACTTCTGTTGACGGATGTTCAGAAGTTTGACTAACAGTAGATTTACATAAAAACAAATTATTTTCAACTAGATTAAGATTCTGTTCAATTTTTTGATTTATTCTTTCACTAGTATGATTATCTAAAATTAATGTAGTTGCCCATGAAACGTTATCATGTGCAAGTGATAGAAATTCTTCAAGTATGTTTGATTTTAAATTAGGAAATATTGCCATTAATTCACCAAGTTTTGTTTGAGATGTAGACGGCTGTTGTACCAGTGGAGATGTATTCATAATTCCACTACTGTTACCTATAGGTTGAGAGAAAAAAGGGCAAAAAAATTAAATAACAAAAAGTAGGGAATTAGTCAGTCTAGAGATCTAAAACTGTCGCATTTTTCTAAACGTAACTTTTTTTCCCAATCAGTATTTCCACACTGAGCTTTGTTAGTATTTGACTTCTTGTTTACATATTTGTGTCAAGAAAAGATTAAGTTATCTAGCATTTCTGGTTACTACATGTTAGTTCTTTCTTTTCGCTTCACAGAAAAAATATATTTCATAGAAATCACGAGCCAACAAAAGATAGACAGCTGAAATTTAACAATCTCCACAACCCCATTTTGACGATCATCATGTGCTCACTAGTGACCTGCTTCGAGAGAAACTTGTCGGACTTCTAGTCAGAAGCCATGACCAGTACAGTTTAACGATGTCAAGTGTGAGGAAGGTACCCAATGAAGACAATTGAAGACGGCTGGTTGAACAATTTCATGAATTGACTGAAGTTAGACTTGTACATCATTGGTCTCGGCTTGGTGGTCCAGAGGTTGAGCGTCCACGTTCAAGATCAAAGGTCTTGGATTTGATCCCTGATGAGAGGTTGTTGATCCGTACTGTCGAGAAACCTCATGATAGGATGAAACAGTCATCTAGTGCTTCCAGTTTTGCGATTGTTGTCTAACTTTGATCGGTTCGTGATTTCAATGAAATCCAACAACCTTCACAACCTTATACTGACTTGAAATAAACCGATTATAGTGTGTACTACAACAATAACTATTATCGAACAGTTAGTTCCATATACTAGATTGGTTTATTTACTGATTTGTAGCTAATATGATACGATCAAGAGAACAACTGAATGAAATACGTATATTAAAGGTAATAGGCAGAAATTCATGAGGTTAGGGTTAATGTCGGTCAGTACTCCTTATCAAGACATACTTGCATTCCTTAGGGGAGTGATGCTTTCTGTGGGATTCAAATACGTGCCATTCAATTTCACAACAATAAGAGATATTAACACTAAGTTATTCGGTTAATGAACAGTAATCTGTAGGACTAAAACTTTTACATTAACTGGTATCTAAGTAGAAATTAACGTCATGTTTGTTCAATCCCTAACGCTGTTCGTTTCTATCGATCAGGATAAAATGTGGTCATTGGTTGCCATCACCTAAAGTCATATGAATGATGGTTTGATTTCGAGTGTAGTTTTATGTGTGCATTTATCTTTGAGTCACTTTCTTATTTTACGTGAACTCTAAATGATAATATTCCAACTGTCAAAGTCTTTACTAATAGTTTCTAATTTTGAACCTGACACAATCAGTAAATGTTCAAGTGTTGACAGTTAGACACTAGTTTCAAAAATTTACAACCTTTTTATATTCAGTAAATTAAACAAGTTGTTTGTTTATTCACTTTAATTAAATTTGATTCATATTCAAGAAAAATATATATACTGTGCAATTTTAAAAACGTCCAGTAAGTTGAACATGAACACCAACGCATACAATCATTTCACTTAATTATTGGTTAATTGTTATTACTTTGTTTTAGTCAAAAACTATCGATTATCATTTTAGTTGATAAGGTATTTTAATTAAATTTATTGATTACTATAAACAAAGTGATTCAATGACCTAGTATCTTGGAGTTTAAAGATTTTGTGCATACTGATAACATAACTGAATGATGAAATGTATGTGACAGTTAATTTTTGAAGAAATCAAAGAATTATTTGCACTACAGTATGTGCCAGAGTATGAGCAACTATTTAGTTGCTGATAAAATGATCACGATGAAGTAAAACCAATTACGAGGTCACTATGAACACACACTAAGCTTTTTTATACAATGATATCAACGCCCTTGGGAGAGCCACAAAACAGCGTACTAAAAAATCCGTTAACCAATGACAGTCAAGGAATTCCGAGTGGGAAATGTAAGTTGTAGGTCGACTAAGCGTTTCTTGGCGCGAATACATAATATTCACATTTTCGGAATAAAATTACACAAGTAGGACCTTTTCCAAGTGAGTTCTGGGGATCTAACGTCCCCAACAGAACGTCGAAAAGATATGGTAAGTCGGTTGATAAGTTTGAGAATATTTAACTACTATGGCGACTGAGACACGCGTTGCGCAGGCCCAGTCCTCACTTATCTTAGCGTTCTGTACTAGAGACCGCAGAAGTAGAATTATGTAAGGCTAGTGACACCCAGACCAAGACACAATGAGAACCTATGAAGTCATTTATTATTGCTCTGATTTGCTTTGACAAGTACACATTTCTCTGGGTTTACGAGATACCTGTAATCGACAAAGCTTCCTTAGGTCACGACAGTGTGATACACTTCTCTTATTCATATGATAATCAAACACGAATAAAATATCAGGTGGATGAAACAGATATGAAAATAGTTTACAGTCACGTTATTATCTGGTGCAGTCGGTAAAAAGAGACAAAACTAACAACTGGTGTCATGAAATAAACAATATATTAACTTTCCAACAATCTGAGAAACGAAGTATTTTATAACGGATAAATATAAAAAAATTGTTTCCAGATAATGGAGATTTGTAGCTCAGGAAAATTATTTTAATGGGACTTTGTTTTCAGAGGCGAATGTTCTAGCCGTGGAGCTTTCTTTGCTCTCCTAGACAACATCATCGGTGCACACTTCACGTAGAAATAAAGTATTCAGATTTATTCATAGGCTCATTAACCGATCTATCATTCTTACCTGGTACTCTAGGCCTAAACTCTAGAATTATTCACCACGTTGATTATTGCAAATCTGAGGGATAATCTCAAGGTGTCTATGATCAAATACTACCTATCCTACCAACGTACGCATGTTCTCAACCTTCGAAGGCTGTATTTCCAAACCACAGAATAATGTAATAAGAGTTTATGTACATAAAGTCATTACCTCTGACCAAAAAAAAATGAACTTTAAATATTGAAAACTTGGTAGAGTATATATCATTAGATATTTCTAAATATCATTTGGATTCCTCAACAAATAAATAATTGAAATTCTTATTTTCATCTCATAGAACTTATTGAGGGCTGTCAATGTCTGGGTGACTTGTATTTTTGATTAGTAGAACAAAATGTATGCTGGATATATAAAAACAAAGATAACGTTTTTAACGGTAAAATAATGACATGTATTTTTAACGACCTTGTATATGTGCTAGACTTGATCGTAAACAATACAAGGTAACTTGTTTGAAATCATTTGAAATCGTAATAAACAAACTAATGATAGAAAAGACAAACATAATCTGGATTTGAACTTTAAGTCTAGTTATTTAAACAATATATAGTCTGAGTTATATGACCACAAACGACCTTGAAGTTGTGGAAAACTGTAGAGATATAACCCGTGAAGATAATAGTAGGACTGTAAAAACCACAAATTACCGCTTAAACATATCGTTTATGCTTTGCCTAATATACTAACAATAAATTAACTAATTCCATTGCTGTTTTCTTTCATATTATCGATAGGTTGCATATATGCTGACGTTCCTCTATATCACTGATTAGAACATCAGCAGTAGTCACAAGTAGTGTAGTTTAATAACAAACCAGTCAAAATCGAGGAAATTACTCTGAAGTATTTTATGCGAAATACAGAAAATGAATGACTTTTATCTTTCGTAACATGCAATGTGAGATAAATACCTGTGTGGTCAGTATTCGGGATGTTTAAAATGTTTAGAGAAAATTCATTTTTGAAATGGTAGGATGAAAAATAAAATATTAAGCAAATCAAGTTCGCGGTTTTTCTTTTGTACATGGTACGTGAACCAATTAGTTTTTTGTTTCAATTTACTTTGTACGCAGTGAATATTGTTAGAAATCTTAAAATTCAACTGAATATCAACCTTGTAGATCTCAATAGTAAATACACCAAAGCATTGCTTTCACATTAGTGGAGATTTAAGATTGAGAATATGACTCGAGAGGAAGAAACGAAAAGACGTGTGTGAAGGAATATACTGGAACTCGGCAAATGTAAGATACGAAGCACTAAATATCGATTTCAATTACTTTGGAACTTGAAAATAAATATATTTGTATTGAAATAAATCGTTAAAATCGTTGAAATAAATCATAAATCGTTTACCAACAATTCAATATTATAATAACCTGGTCTTTCACTGATTCAAACAAAAATAACTCACTACTATCCTGAGAAATTGATTCACCTGAAACCACATGATTTATATTCAATGCTTCCATACTTCTGAAGAATATGAAAAAATGAACACAAGGAGAGAAGAGTAAAGGCAAGGAAAAAACGAGAAAGTATGTTACAATGAAAAAAAGTGAAAAAAAGAGCCTATAGTACACATTTAATTAAAGATCATAACAACTGAAATAAAATATATCATTTAGATACTCCATTGAACTAGTCTTGCAAGGGTTTTTTAAAGTACTGTTATATTTTGACAAAACGATTTGTCTCTTAAGCGTTTTTGTTGAATCACAATGCTGGTGAATGAAGGGATGATTGAGCTATTCAAAAACGAACAGTTCTATTGCCAACTTGATAACGGAAGTTCTTACACAAAACTTCAACGATTAATTAGCCGCTATCAAATGAAGAAGATAATATACAGAAAAAACTTGATATTCAAGTATAATATGGAAAATAGCTTGAAATGGTACATTTGATTATATATGATAACGAAAGTACCTTCTTCAAGCATAGAGGAAATTAGCGAACTAAATGTAGTAGCAGCCAATTGGAAAAAAGAAAATGTCATGTGAAGAATTATATCAGGAAAAAACCAGTAGCAGTTACCATTACTCGTATGACTTTTTTCATTATTTACATAAATTGGATAGTCCTGTGATCACCTAAGCAAGTAGGTAATTAGCTAAACTTAAGGGTGTAAGGCCTGAAAATAATAATATTTAACTGAGAAACTTAAATGAGTTCCGAAGAATACTAGTAGCGGTAATCAAGCCGCTAAAGACCAAGCTCCTATAAACCTTTGAGTAAGTCCTCCGATCGCATACTATTCACACGGATAAAATATTGAATATGGTTACTTGAAATGTCCATAATTTATGAGAAAATCATTGATGTAATATTGTACTTTATTAAGTCAAACCAAACACAATATCTAGTAAACCTTAACATAGATGTGATTCATTTGGATAGCTAAGTGGATAAGGAAAGTCACAAAATTCAAATACATGTCTGTTAAACATTCGAAATCCCAAGCTATCAACTCAAAATTTCCATTATTAGGTTGTTTTAATCTCAAACCTGTGTTATTATTGGACTTATTTACATATTGTGTTTATTCTACTATCTTGTAGATTCTCTAACACTAACTGTTCTGCATATTTCTCTTCCCCCATTACACAATGTATCTTCAGGCTAACAGAAAACCTGAGAATGGCTTAACGTTACAGTCGTCCATTGTTCAATGAAACAGATGGTTTAAAAGTAGAAATACGCTATCAACTGAATTTATTAGAATCACAATATTATCCCATAAAGCCACTACGTTATAGGAAATCATCACCCACTACTGTTTTACATTATAATCCAGAATTTGTAGGCAATTTATAGAGAAATCTGACCATCTGACAATTAGTCACGTTATTGTTACAAACAATTAAAAATATAATCATGTGTTATAATGGTAGACTTTCATTATAGAAAAGTATCTACAGCCAATTCTATGATATTGATAATGATAATAGTCTTATTCTCATGAACTACTTAGTATTCCATACAAATTTTAATTTCTTTCAGTTACTATAGTAGGGAATCACAAGATTAAAACAATCTAAGAATGAATACATCTCCATTACAAAGATCAACCCAAGAATAAAACCCATTAAAATTGTTCAAAAATCATGACTGAGCATCGCACACGTACACAGGCAAAACATTCACACAATTTATACTGAGAATTAAGGTGACTCGATGAATTTGTGGGATGTTATTAATTTTTCTTTTATCAAGTGACCATGCAACAGTATGACAGTAGTTATTAGGCATTGAAACGAATGAGCGATTCAAAGTAAATAAAAAGGTAGGATGCATCATAAAGCCATAAGCGCCATACAAGTTAACTGAAAGTTCCAGAAGGGGGATTCTACTTACATTGATGATTTGAACATAAAAAAATAGATCACTGTATACATCCACCATGTTAACAACCACATAATTTACCAGTTTGTTTTTAACATGAACGAAAGAAATGGAGTCCCACTGGAGTTGTTGATGACTTTGGTCTTAAGATTTAATATACTTGTTATATCTGATACTCACCATACATGAACTGAATGTTATACAGGAATAAAACATTTATCACTGAAATAAATTTCAACCAGATATTCTATTTTTTAAGACTTGTAATGCAGTAAGAACTAACTTATTTAATCAATTAAGTAGGATATCCATCAATTTAGCTCAACTCTGTTAATCATGTTTAAGAATTCACAGGAAAGAAACAAGTTGAACTTTCATTACAAAAATAGCTGATTTAATTAATTAGAATTATCGTCAGGATTTGTATTGGTTAGTTAGGAAGAGTGAGCCAAAGTGACACAGAACGACTGTCATTCTATGTAGCTACTTATAAGTAACATATTTTATTGGTGTACAAAATTATGAACTATCATCGCCTAATGCAAAGTTGAGTCGAAAGCGCAGAGATGTATTGATTTCACTTACTGACACATTATTCTCTCTTAACTTTTATTATAAATGCCCATTAAGACATGGACAATAGGGTTATTCAGTTAGACCAAAGTCCTTTGCAAAATGTTAATATGATCAGAATACAGATCTCTAGAACTACTTGTACACATGATTATTGAGTTTCAAACGAAACAATTAACACAATTCCAATCAGAAATCTGATATAAACCTCATGCGCTACTAGGCTTTGAGTATAAAATTGTATCATATTTGACAAATTTATTTGAAGCGTTTTGCACTAACGAACATCATATAGTTCATATTAATTTCGTCTGTTCACTAGGCCAACCAATAGTGTTTGTTTTATAAAAATTGTTTATTTACTTACGGTACCATGTGCACAGGTGACGTTATAAAATAGAGACCTAGTTTTAAGACTCCTCCCTACAGGCAGTAATGTTCGAACTCTACAACATCCAGTCCCTCATAAAAAGCAGCTGTAAATAACTAAAAATATAAACAACATAGCATTTAGCACAAACGCACACTGGCCCAGGTTGCCATACAACATTAGCGTAATGAAATACAAATAAAGATGAACTGCAAAGAAATCGAAGTTGTTTTAGTACCAGAGATCGTGATAATGACTAAACATTAAAACTTAACGAAACTGACGACCTTGAAAGATTTTAAGAGTGAACTTGTGATTAACCGATCGAATGTTAGACAACCAGAATGCACATTGCGTAAATTAATTATAAATCTGATCTTGAGAAAGTATCATTTCCAATCGACTTATTTTCCCAACATCTAGTGCAGCGTGTAACAACTGCATCTCTGGACTCTAGATTTTCTCTCCTTGTCATTTGCTGTCCACAGCTATATAAGATGCTATTTCTCAATATTCCAAGGTTCTATAGATGATCAACGATCATATCACTGAGCAAATAAGCCAAAATGAAAAATCTAGCCCAAAAAAGAGTTCCCGGTAGTTAGTTATCCACAACTGCATATTGAAAATCGTGCGTCAGTCAACAACCGCGACGTCCATCCTGACTGGCCATTTATATTCGCTGCAAGGCCATTAGTACAGTTTAGTTCCACTGAGAATGTAGTTTAAAAAGAAGATATACTTGGAGTGTCACTAAAATCTAAAATCTAGGAGGTGGAAAAAGAGTGAGTAGATCTATAAGCCACACTACCCAGAGTTCCTAAGCATTCACTGTGGTCATTCATTCGATCAAGTAGTCTGGAACCTTTGGGATGAAGAACAAGTACCAACAGACTGGATAGAAGGACAGCTGATCAAGATACAAAAGAAAGGCGATCTCAGAAAGTGTGATGACTACAGGGATATCCCTCTTCTTTCAATACTAGGAAGTCTTCAACAGGGTATTGTTGAACAGAATGAAGGACTCCGTAAACACCCAACTTCCAGACCAACAGGCTGCATCCCGTAACGATCGATCGCGTACAGACCAAATCACAACTCTACTGATCATTGTAGAACAATCAATTGAATGGAATTCATCACTCTACATCAACTTCATTTACTACGAGAAAGTATTTGATAACGTGGACAGAACAATATTATGGATGCTCCATCTACACTACGCCGTGCCTGAGAAAATATTCAATATCATACGAAAATCCTATGATGGATTAAACTGCTAAATCGTGCATGGAGGACAACTCACTGACTCGTTCGAAGTAAAGACCGATGTCAATCAGGGTTGGTTACTCTCACCCATTCTCTTTCTCCAGGCGATCAACTGGATAATGAATACATCAGCAGCTGGTGGAAAGCATGGATTACAGTGAACAGCTAGGATGTAGCTGCACGATCTAGACCTTGCAGATGATCTGACTCTTCTATCACACAAGTAACAACAAATGCAGGAGAAAACGACCAGTGTAGCAGCAGCTTCAACAGTAGTAGGTCTCAATATAAACAAAGGGAAAAGCAAGATTCCTTTATACAATACAACATGCACCAATCAAATCACATTTCACGGAGAATATGTAAAAACTTTTACATTTCTGGGCGGCAGCAGCATCGATGAACACGGTGGATCTAATGCAGATGTGAGGGTGAGGATCGGCAAAGCAAGAGCAGTATATCTGCCACTGAAGAACATCTGGAACTCAAAACAATTGTCAACCAACACCAAAGTTAGAATTTTCAATACAAATGTCAAAACAGTTCTACTGTATGGGGCGGAGATGTGGAGAACAACAAAGGCCACCATCCAGAAAATACAAGTGTTTATTAACAGTTGTCTACGCAAGATACTTCGGATCCGATGGCCATACACTATCAGCAACATTCTACTGTGGGAGAGGACAAACCAGATCCTAACGGAGGAAGAAATTAGGAAGCGCTGGAAATGGATAGGACACGCTTTGAGGAAATCACCCAATTGCGTCACAAGGCAAGCCCTCACACGGAATCCTGAAGGTCAAAGGAGAAGAGGAAGACCGAAGAACATATTACGCCAAGAAGTGGAGACAGACAAGAGAAGAATGAACAGAAAATGGATAGAACTAGAAACGAAGGCGGAGGACAGAGTGAGTTGGAG